CCAGATAATATTTAAGTGTCGTCTTGTACATCTTGGCTCTCTATTAGAAGTGAAATGATGAGGTCCCTGACAGGAACCAAGAAAAGGTTCTTGCTAATTTATGCTAGAGTATGCTCAAAAATATGTATTTTTTTCTTCTTTTCCTATTATGTATCAGTATAACAACTTCCTGAAAGGTTTTGACTGCTGCAAGCCTTGCAGATTAATGTTATGCATATAAAATATATTTGTGTGTGTGTCTATATATATAGGGCTATGTACACAAACATATTAATTTACAAATATAATGAATTTTTTTAAAAAAAGTTCACTTTGTAATAGATTTTCCAGCTAATTAATTCTTCAGGCTAGTACTGAGTTTGGTACATTACAAAAATGTAATGTGTCCTTATTATTTACAGGAATCCAGCAAGGATAAAACTAAGGAGAAGAACACTTCAGACCTAATGACAACCGAGTCTGCTATGCCCGGGAGTGCTTTGGAAATGAATGATTAAATGAGTAATTATCTTCAAAAACAGTGGACCAGGCTCTCACAACGCCAATCTCAGTTCTGTGCTGAGTTCTGCTGAAAGTGTATTTTGATTAGAATTACTGATTTGTTGTTTTTACCTGGGATAACCCCTAGGCTGCTGGCAAGGGACGGGTGTGAAGCAGGAGGCCCCGTGGTGCGTGTGCGGCCCCAGCGCGCGGGGAGTTTGTTCCGTGGGGGTTTGTTCCGAACGCCGGGCTCTGCCCGGACCACACCTGCAGATTTCTTTCTGACAGATGTGGGACGGAAGCCCCCGAGGTCTTGCGGGGGGAGCGGACACGCCACAGAACTGCTGCTGCCGTGCACGAAGCTACGGGACGCTCCCGGGCACCAGAAAGCTCTTCGCTACTTCCCGCGGGAACAAGCGCGCCCGTGCGAGTCAGGCTGCGGGTCAGGCCCCCCCAGACCGGGAATGGGAACGGGAATGAACGGGAATGGGAATGGGAATGGGAAAGGGAATGGGAATGGGAAAGGGAAAGGGAATGGGAAAGGGAACGGGAATGGGAATGGGAAAGGGAAAGGGAACGGGAACGGGAATGGGAATGGGAATGGGAATGGGAATGGGAATGGGAATGGGAAAGGGAATGGGAATGGGAACGGGAACGGGCATGGGGGCTCTGGCTGGCAGAGGGTCGGGGCTGTCCCAGGCACTGCCCCTTCCCACCCATCCAGGAAGCAGCACCAAAGCTTACCGCCGTGATAAACCCAGCACTCTGCTTAGAAGGAAAATCTCAGCAGGTCTGCTTCAAATTGCTTTCCTGGGGGAGTTATCAAAACAGTAAATAGCGGCCTCTTCATAAACCGAGACCTCTCCCGGATGGAAGAGCTTTCCCAGACATGCCTCAAAGCTGCACCAGCGACACCGTTATTCCTGCCCGAGGACCTCCATCTCATCTCATCTTATCTCATCTCTAAATTCAGACTGACATTGTCATTTCTATGCATTTCAGTTTGTAACAACCCCTGAAACACTAAAGCAGAAATACTGTGCAGCGAGATACCCTACGCTTTTATATAAATCAAAGATTATTAATCTGCTGGAAATCACTTTATTATTACTGAGACAAATTCTGCTCTTTACTGAGATCAAGCAAGTCACACAAGATTTGCAGCGCAGTAAAAATGAGCAGCCATTGAATCTTTTCCTCTATATCTTCCCAGGAATGCCACTTGCTCAACTGGAGTCTTCTTGATGGCTTGAATTTCCCCTACGCTTTAAACAAAGATGTTTTGGGTCATCCTGCACAGCAAACACTTGCCAATTAGTATTCTAATAATGTAACTCATTAGCCTTGTCTCTGTACCCCTGTGAAGAAAGCCATTTACAACCCCTTTCAAAATGCATGAATACATATACGTACAGAAGGCGGCTGATAGAACATCACAGGAAAATTTAAGCTCCAGCAGCTCATCATCTCCCCTGCAGATCACTTCTGGAAAAACACACTGCTGACCTTAAAAAAACCCAACCTCTTCTGACAACTAAAGCACACCAGTGAAAAAGAACAATTTGATTTTGGAATCAATGTACAAAGTAATTTGAAGAAAACTAACGACCTACGAACCCAGGAGGCTCGGGTGGCTGGATCCAGCCGTGGTGCAGGAGAAGGCGGCCCCCGGAGCTCTGCAGGTTTTCGCTGGGGGAAATGCCACCCGCCCTCCTGCCGCGCACGCTCGCACGCACTGTCCACGTTAAATAAAAAGATGAGAACCCGAACATCTGAAACTGGCATTTCTAAGTGCTGCCTACGGTACGAGATACCTTGTATATTCTTAATTAGAAATGTGAAGGCCACTTATAAAAGGAATTTATATCGGTATAAGAAATATAAGGGGTAGAAGATCTGAAAATAGATGGGTTACTGTCTGAGCTCACAGAGATGTATTTATACACACACACTTATATCAAACCGTTACTAAAAGTATGCTGAGAAGTTAAACAGTCATAGGCAAAGAGAAACCAGAAAAAGGCGCTTGTTGGACCTTGATGGGCCTCCTGTGCCAGTGTCACCACTGTCCCCGGCTGCCCCCAGCACCCCGTGCCGCACGCAGCCTTGCGAGTCCCGCTCAACCCTTCTCCCTTCTTTTCCCATTTCCCCGGGGCAGGTTCCTGCTCCCTGGAAGGGTTCAAGGCCAGGTTGGACGGGACTGGGAGCCCCCTGGGCTGGGGGAAGGGGGCCCTGCCCGGGGCAGGGAGGGGGCACTGGGGGGGGGGCTTTTTTTTTTTTTTTTTTCCCCTTCCAACCTGTCGTTCCAACTCAACCCAGGACACAACCCCAGCCAGACTGCGACTCCGTGAACTCGGAGTCTATGTGTTCGCCACCCCCATGCGTGAACACTTAATTTTTGCTTCGGCACCCGTGGGAAACGCCTCCACGTCGCCAGGCGGAGCGGTCTGAGAGCCGGGGGTGGGTGCTCGCACGGAGCCCGGCCGTGCCGCCCAGCCGTGCCCCGAGCGGAGCTGCTGGCCGGGCGCTCCCAGCTGGGGGCCCTGGCTGGGCTCTGCCCCCCCAGCCCCGCAGCTCCCGCGGCCGGGGGGGCTCCGGCTGCTGCAAACCCCCCGCACGGAGCCGCTGGCGTTCGATCTGCTCAGGGAGGGGCTGGGGCGCCTGGGGAGACGGGCGGCGGTGGTGGGGCTGGGAAGGCCAAAGGGCTTTCTGGTTTGTCACTTAAGGGAGATCAATGCTTCCTGTCAAAACCAGGCATTCTTAATGAAAAAAACCACCATGTTTCTTGTCAAAACCACGCATTCTTAATGAAAAAAAACACCATGTTTCTTGTCAAAACCACGCATTCTTAATGAAAAAAACAACCATGTTTCTTGCCAAAACCACGCATTCTTAATGAAAAAAACCACCATGTTTCTTGCCAAAACCACGCATTCTTAATGAAAAAAACCACCATGTTTCTTGTCAAAACCACGCATTCTTAATGAAAAAAACCACCATGTTTCTTGCCAAAACCACGCATTCTTAATGAAAAAAAACCCCACCTACTTGAAATCTAACTTTCTGTTGAGAAGTTGTTTCGACAGACATTTCATAATTACAGTCCAAAGCATTTTTATTTTCCTCCTTCAACTGCATTTTGGTTCTTTTTTTGGGGGTTATTACACGCACAGATCTCATTGCTCTTACTGCCCAGGGAACGCCAGCCTCTTGGGCTCCGGTGTGACACTGACAGGCACGAAGGGCTGGGATCACTCGCTAAAAACTAGCAGGGCTGGGATGTACAACTGCAAGTTTTGAGGAAAGGCGTGCACCGTCGACTCTAACCCCGAGCACAGATTACCTCAGCGAGCACCAGGTAAAACAAATAATTTCTAAGACTTCCTGCATGTACCCCTCTGTACTGAGAAATCCTGGGTCTGAGTGCTACAAAAGCAGTAATCTTATCCAGAGCATCAAATCAATAACCGGCAATCAAAGACCTTAAGCTCTGAGAGATGTTCAAACTCAGAGCTGATAGACATTCTGCTTAGAAAAAGTATTTGGGAAAAAAAAAAAAAAAAAAAAAAAAGCAACCAATGGGATGAAGTAGAGAGAGACAATTCTTCCTTTAAATCAGAAACAATTCCTGTGGGATGCATGAGCTGTGAGAGGTACAACAAGTTACAGCCAAGGTAACAAGTCCCGGGGGAGCCCCAACAGAACCAAAAAAAGAGGTGGCCCCCAAGCAGTGTTGCAAGTGCTCTGATTTGCCTGATGGCTGAGGTATGCTGAGCACTACCCACAGGAGTGACTGAATTCTATTCCAAATTGTTATTTTTTGGGGGAGATTTGAGTGTTTTCCCTCATTTTGGGAGCGATAAGGGAGCCCAGCAAGCACTGGTCTTTCTGGGCACGACAGACTCCCCCGTGCTGCAGGAGCAGCGATTTCTCGCCAGCTCTCTAGCTGGGCTCTGGACCCCTGTTTAACATTCCTGTATTCTTCAATATTCTTAAAAAAAAGGCAGCTTCAAACAGCACTAGGATGACCACTGCTAGTGTCCCCATCATGTTTACCAGCCAAATAACTAATTACTAGCATAAATGTGAAAAAAAGTAAGTGAAATTGTGAATGAAAATATTTTTCTGAATACTATTTGTCTTTTCATTCCAAAATGAAAAATACTTTCATCTACTGCATTTAAAATATGTATTTTTTACAAGTAGCAGGATTGCTTGCTGTTCAAGCTAATCTGACAGACCTCCTTAGTCATTCTTTGTTAAGAGCGACCACTGACCTAAAATCATAAAGTTAGCACTTGTGGTTATATCATACTGAAATTCAATACTTAAATTACTAAAGTAAAACAGAGATAAATAAATACTGTTTCCATAAAGACTTTGGTAACGTCAAAATTTTCTCTGTGTTACCAACAGAAGCATTTTAACCTAAGCGAGAGAGACTAACAGCCGCGTCCAGGAGGTTACATAACACGTGTAATCTTACAATAAATGGGTTTCCAGTTATCGGTCGTCTTTACCTGCCAGGAGCTCTGGGTTTGCTCCCAGGGGACGGGCAGCTCCTCCACCCCGTGCCCGGGCACCGGCGGCCGGGAGCTCCTTCCGACAGCCCCAGCTGTGCGTGGCTGCAGCTCCCGTGGGCTGAATCACACCCTGGGATTTCTTCCGGATTTTCCTTCCTTCACCTGTTTTTCTAGAGGATCCGTTTTCCTTCCCGGCCCCTCCTGTGCTCTCTTGCCTCACGGTGATAAAATCTTCTGTTGCCTCTCGCCGCCTCCCCCAGCCCAGAGCGTGCAGATCGGGGATAATGTTTTATGTTCACTCTTTTCCAGGTGAAAACTTTTGCTGGGACAATGTTAAGCCTTTTGTCAGCATTCAGGGACAGCAAATTATAAATTATTGTGCCATTTTTCTCATCGTGCTGTGCGCCGTGGTCTACTGAAGACTCCCGAAAAAATTACAACTTGATCTCCTTCCTGAACATAGCTTCACGTTTTTTCCCTAAAACTGGGCTTGTGGGATATTCAGTAAGCCACTGGACATACCCTGTGTTATGAAGAAATACCTTGGAACAAAACACTTGGTTTTCGTCCACATTTATCTTTTCGGGAGTTACTCCTCTGGAACTCTTCCTAAGATCTTCTTTCGAGACAGATTCTTAAATGACTATGAATAACAAATATAAATGCGTGACATATAAAACAGGACACGGTCACTTCTACAGAGAAGCAATTTACTACCTGCTTAGCAGGGAACCAAAATATATTCAGTTTATCTGAATTAGTATACTGCTCCTTACGTAAAGCTGAGAGCTATTTCAAGCAGCAGAGCCAGGGCTCCGGGAAGGAGCCTGTGGCTATAGGAGAGAGAGGGGGTTTTTGGCTTTCTTCGTTGCCGGCTTAGTTGTAGCTTTTCAAAATGCTCAGTCAGAGATTTCAGTGGTGCAGACGTCACCTGTGCAGAAATTTCCCCGTACCCCAGATCAGCCTCAGTCTGAAAGGGTCAGAAGGATTGCATCTTCCATCGCCAGTAGCAAAATATGAGAGATACTCGGGGGGTTTGAAATGGCAATGTCTCTTTTTCTGTCTTGGTAATCAATGCTGTCTCACTGTTAGTAACAGCAGAAGGAATTGTAGTTTCCTCAGTAGGCTGAAACAAGAAAAGATATAAAAACATGAATCGAAGCAAAGTATGCGTGGGCAAAAATAACACGCGTGAAATTCTGTAAGGTCTATATTTATAATTATCTGTTTGAATTGTACAAGTGATAAAAAAGGATTTGTGTTAGATTCCATTGATGTTGATGACTAAGAGGGAACGTTCCCCTCAATGCCACCCGTGTCGTGGTAACTGCTGCCCTCTCTGGAAGCACAAACAGATTGGCGAGTTACCTCCTATTTACACGGGGAGCGGGGAGGGCTTTAGGCAGTATCTGGGGCCCTGTGGCATGATATTTGGAGAGAAAGACATTTATAAACGACCCGTTCGTCCCCGGACCATCCGGGTCGCTTAGCCTGAAGGCAGGACAAGCTCACGCAAGGGGGTCAGCCCGGCGGCGAGCGCGCCAGAGAGCCCCTCCGCGCGGGGAGGAGGGGCAGCAGAATTCCACGGATTTCCAGCAAGGATCAGCTGGAGCAAGCCCTGACGTCCTCGGAGGGACGAGCACAGCCTGGGCCTTTACCCTGGCTTGCTAAAAGCTTCCTTGTTTTTAAGCCTGCTGTGTTTTGCTCTTTCCTTGCCCTTCCATCTGAAGAAGGAAATTCTGTTTGACAAGGTTTTAAGCCTGCTGGTGCCCAGGTTTCACATTTTTTTTTTGAAAGGCTTTAGAGATTTCCATTTCTGGGTTATCTGGGGCACCCAGGAGAACCCCCCCAATGCTGCTGAAGCAGCCTGAGTAGCCAGGGAAAGGCTCTGATGCTTTACAAAAAGGTCACCAGGGGCTTACCTTTTGCATGTGGCCTGAAGGACTATGACCAAAGAATGAAAGCTAAAGAGAAAAATAAAAACAAAAATAAAAACTGAAAAGGGGAGGGAAGAGAGGAAAAAATGGAAAAGAAGAGAGAGAATAAGAGTTTACAGTGTGTTTAGCTGAGAAATAAGCTGTGGTTACAGACAGAACAAAACTCTCCGTTGAAAAGAAATACAAAGTGTGAAGTGAGCTCGGAGGGTTGAGGGCTGGGCTCAGCCAGAGCCCCCGCGCCCCTCGGACAGAGGAGGGTCACCTCCCGCCCAGCAGAGCCCAGCCCAGCCCAGCCAGGGGCTCAGGGAAAACAGGAACGGAAAAAAATCAGCTGCATTCTTCTGAAACCTCAAAAAACCCCCCCAAAACCAACACCGCTGAGGTTTGGGTTTAGTTTCAGGTGGAAGTCCAGCTCAGCCCCTGCTGTACCTGAACAGGTTCTCCATTGGCAACTTCGCTGGACAGTTTCAGATGAGGGTAATTTTAGGGTAAAATACAACAGTTATGGCTCGACTGGAGAAAGCCTGATGACGCCAGCCACGTGCGTTACTTGCCCATGCGAATGCTGGTGATGGGAGGGAGGGAGAAAAGACTCCCAGCTCCTTCCGCGGAGCGCGTGTGGGGCTCAGCCCTGAGCTGCCCGGCGGCTCCCGTCGCTCCCTTCCCAGGGCAGCCGGACCCCCCAGCCCTGCCCAGCCCCGTGTTTCGGGCTTTACTGAAGGGTAACAGGAGGAAAGGCTCCATCTGAGCTGGTAACCTGTCCTCCTCAGAGGGACTAGTGCGAATGCAGAATGGTTCCATGGAGCGCTCTCACATTAGCTCACTGCGCTAACAAACATCAACTTTTCACAAGATTGTTTCTCTTAGCCAAGGTGAAATGAATACACGGGCATGTGCACATACAATAACTGTTTCATCTGCATTACCTTACCTTTTCCTCTAACTCTTTTATTTGTCTTTTTTGGCCTTCAATTCTTTCTTCTAGCTCTTTAATTCTCTGTCAGATTTCAAATAAAAAAATATTTATTAACCAACCAAATACAAATGTATCCAGAAGATGCATTATTTTGGGAGATATAAGTTGTATGTGCCGTGCTTCTAAAAAAAAATAAACTGGGTTTTAAGCTGTCGATGAGTCCTCCACGAATGTCACTATGCACGACAAACTAATGAAAATCAAAATGCCCTGTTTGCAGCGGTTACCCAAGGCAAATCAAAATCTGGCCCCCGGACCAGCTGTTTGTGGTGCAGCTCTCCGAGGAGAGGCTGGTGCTCACAAGCTCATTACGTCTCCACCGGAGGGAGCGTCCCACCCAAACCTCGCCGGGCCCGGGCGCCGGTGCCTACCTGCTGTGCGTGTTGGATGAGCTCCATCCTTTCTCGCAGGATTTGGGCGTCCCTCTCCCGGAGCTCGCTCATGACCTGCCGCTTCCATTGCTCTACGGCGCTCTTCAGTTTCTCTTTCTCCTCTTCTGAAAGAAGTTCGGAAATTTTGGCTCCAGCTTCTTGCTGCAGGGCATCATAGAGCATGGCTTCTAATTCCAGAATTTGCTAATCAAAAACAATATAAGGCTGTCAGCTTGACCTTGTCTCTGGCTGGATGAGGATTTTGTGAGGAACTGAAAATCCTACCCCGGGAAGGCAGCGGGAGCGGCAGAGGGGTTGTGCGCTGAGCCTCCCGCACAGGACAGTGCAGAAAACCCAATCCAGGGGAAAATAGTCCAGGCTGCTCTTGTGCTGTGGGCTCTGGGCAGCACTGGAACGGGGACGGCCCCTCGCTCAGCCTAATCTGCCTCCCAAAAAGCACGTGGGTATCAACTTCTCCTTTCTGGAGGTGGGGAGATGGCCGTGGGGAGAAAAGGCGAAATGAAAGAGAGGAAAAGGAAAAGGGAAAAGGAGGTTCGTAAAAAAAGACTCATTTTGTGAGTTAGATATTGTTTAAATTCAGTGTTCAGTCTCTCAGCTCACCTTTCCCAGCTGTTGCCAGCAGAGGATACGGCACCAGTTCATCCTCCTGCCAGAAAGGACTGACTCCCCGCTGGGTGCTTACAGCTTTTTGTGCCCACTCGTTTAGAATGCCCCGTGTGAAGGTGTTTCCAGCACTTCCTCTGGCAGAGCTGCCGGCTCTAAGAGGCTTTATGCTCAAGAAAAATATGTCTGGTAGCTGGGCTCTGTTCTTGCTAGTCTCAGGCTACAAAGGCTTTACTTTACTGCATCAGAAAATGCCTCTGGCACACAAACGGATGTACCCGCCAGATTTTTTGAGATGTAGAAGAGCGTAGGAAATGGGCTGGTGACCCTTCCCCAGGGTCACTGAGCCCGGCACCCTCCAAGGGCAGGTGACCTTGCTGGACAATGTCTTCTGCTTCAGAGTCCAAGATAAACGCTCTTCCTTCATGCAAGCCTAAAGCAGGCCGAAATCTCTGTCAGCAAGTTTGCTATAGGGCAAAAGACAAACCAGCTTCGATGGCACCTTTGCACACCCTCCGAAGCTGGTGGCATCTTGCAGAGCTCTCCATAGCTGGAGGAGAACATGAGTGCAATAGTGTGGGGTCTGAACCTTGCAGAGCTCCCCGCGGCCTCAGGAGAATACGCTGCAATAGTGCAGCTTGAACCTCTAGACGGGCTGTTTGAAAATGCCGCGCATGTCTGTCGTGGTAATTCAGCTCAACTCAGCAAGTTTTTCCACCTGAGGCTGCTGGTGGTGTTTTCTTACTATGGTTTAGCAGGGTCAGGGCAGAAGAATATGAGCGTTTACAAGAATAATACCATCATGGCAAGAGGTATGGGTAGTGACGATGACTGAAAGGCAGTAACCATGGTGTCCCCGTGGGGAAAATCGGATCCCACCTCAGAGGAAGACTCTGCTTTCACTTTTAAAAATAACGCCATCACCCTTGCTAACTGTAGCTGTCCCAACAAAATGCTGTTATTTGAAACACGGATTTCTGTTGGGCCCCAAACCTCAATTACACAACCGTTATCCCTCTCTGATTATATTGACTTGTGAAGAAAGAAGAGTGGGGGGGAATTGACGGTCTCCAGAGCAGCAGCAGCGTCAGGAGTCTCTGTGCGAGCCCAGTGCTTCTCGGAGTGAAATCCCCCGCCAGCAACCAAAGGGGTGAAAAGCGTGCAAAAAGCTTAGAGGTTACAGCTGTTAATCTTGTTGGCTGCTGCTGGCGGGGGAAGATTAGCAGCTCCTCATCTCAAGGGGCACAAAGAAAACATGGACGTGAAACAAATTGTACGATTCAAAAGAGCTGTCGCCACTCTAATTTCGGGGCAGAACAAAGCTTTCGTGCTCTTTTCAGGTTGCCTTTGTGCCCGGGAGTGAAGCCCGTCCCTTTGCCTGGGGACAATTTGCATGATGCCTTTGAAGAATCGAGGAAAATGCAAATAACCCCGGCTGCCTCTGCACGGGCTGCTGACCAAACCGGCGTTGGTGGCCACGGTGCCGCCCCTGCGCTCTCCTGCCGGCACCGGGGCGGTGCCGGGAGTTTCGAGCGATGCCATATGACTCTTCCCACTCTGCTGCTGTTGCAAGTTTCTGCAAACTCAGGTTTATGGATCTGTTTCAGAACGCGCCAAGACACAGGGGGTCGCCTCTCTCAGGGTTTATCTTTGAAGATGAATCCTACGGGCTCAGCCCTTGGCTGCACCAAACTGCTTCTCGCAAGGCTGCAGGTGAGAATCGGGCCCTAGGGCCGAGCCTGCAGGCGAGGGGGCCTTGTGTATTCTCCAGGGTTCCCACTGTGCCTAGACATGGGGGTTCCAGACAGAGCTCAGCATTTGGCAAAATCGGTCCTAAAAATCATCTTTACAGGAACAGAAAGCGTGCCGAGTAAAAGCTCTCCCAAGCGGTTTGAGACACAAATAGAGAATAGGTATCCACAAAAAGAGGCGTAATTACTCATTGCTTCTCAGAAAGTGTAACTGTGCTCCAGATTTAAACGAAACTGAAAGAGTGTGATAAATTGATATGAAAATTTATGCACTTATGTCTTTCATGGGTATATATTGAACTTTTCTCTAACTGAAGGAAACAAGACAGCTGACGACTGAAAAGATGGTTGAAATGGCTTAGGATCAGCTAATGAGGAACCTGACCTAAAAACATTTTCATTTCAAATTTACAGAATCACATAGTACCTCCAGCAGTTTTGGTTACAGAAACTGTAATCTGAGATCTAAGGAAATGTCTAGGCTAAAATCTCTATGTTGGAAGGAAAAGAGAAGTCACTGAAAACATGATTTTCTTATCAGTCATTTACTGAAACCTCTGCTAAATGAAAACTTGTGTTTAATAAATTAATGCTCAGGTCCTAATCCTGCAAGGACCACCCAAACCCGAGGACCTCTCTCCATAAGGAATTAATTGTTAGTGCAGGGTACAGCGGGTTTGTTTAAAATTCAGCCCATTTAGTCCTCGGGTGGCTCCACGAGCAGTGCTGTCCAAAGCAGAGAGTTTTCCCATCGAGAACAGACAACACGCATTACACGAGGTAAGTTCAGCAAGAAAATCAGCCAGGACGGATTCTCCTCACCTTGTGAGCTTGGTCCAGGGACTGCTTCCTGAAGTCGAGCTCGTCGTCCAGGTAGCCCTTCTGCTTGCTGAACAGCTCCTGGGGACACAAGGAGGGGGGCCGTCAGCGCGGCGGCCGCGGCCCCAACGCGCCGGCTCTCCCGCCCGCCCGCCCGCTCCCTCCCCGCGGCCCCCGGTACCTTCTCGTTCTCCAGGTCCAGCATCTTCTGCTGCAGCGCGGACTCCGTCACTTCTATCTGCTGTAGCCACTGTGCACAGAAAGAGAGAGCAGGGGCCTGAGCCGAAAGAGCGGAGGCAGGCGCGGCTGCGCGCTCGGCTTTCGCTGCGACGTGAGGGTGTGGCAGCACACGCTGCGAGTGCTTATTTAAACCCGCTGGATAAAAGAGGAAAAATTGACTATACGATTACATCTTTTATTTTATATGCACTGGTGATGGAAAAGGCACTATTTCAAAGCCTGGCCATTTACCTTTTAACATCCCTTTGCGAACTAAGCGACATTTTAAGATAAGCAATGTCTGTCTGTATTGCCCGAGCGCTACCTTTGTTTTGATGAAAACTAGTGTGGTTCCACACAAAGAACCACGGCATTTTGTGATGAAGCTATCATTTCCATCACCAGTGTCTCCAAGGGAGCTATTCTGAGAGGGTCATGACACGCGTCGACTGACGAGCGATGTGGTTGTTATTACCTTTTCAGCCAACGTGAGGACTGTCCTTGCTTGAATGACAACTACTTGCTCTTCATTGGTCAGATTCTGCACCAAAAGCAGAACAGAATTACAACAAATCCCCATGTCTTGTTATTAATCCACTACTTGGGCCACTGCTGTATTAAATAAATGTGAAATTGAGTATGTCAAGGAACAATAAACTAAGGCAAAGAAAATTAGTATTGTAACGCAACACTTGTAAAAACAACCGTAACTATTCATGCTGAATTCTTATCATACATATAGTTAATTATTCTAAAATTCTCACATTTACCAAAAAAAAAGGTGACACTGGATCTATTTTTACCCAGCAGGGAACAAACACACAGCTACACAAGACAAGATCAAGCTTAGCGCGATGTGCATTGGGAAAAGAGACTGCTTCTGCTCTACTCCTAGAGGTGCTCTCTCAGGGTCTGCCTTCCTCAAAGAAATATCGAATATTGGGGGAAGCTGCCAGGGGGTTTTATGGCAATGTCAGTGAGGAAACGCCCGGGAAAGGGTGGAACGACTGGCCCAGGGGCGGGACACGGGCTCGCCTTCCAGCCTCCCGGCCAGCCAGCCGCCCGGCGTGCGGCCACGGGGCAGCGGCTGCCGCCGGTGCCTGGGTCTGGGACGTGAAACACGTGAAAGCAAGAGGAAAACGCCCGGCAGCAAGGGTCTACTCTTAGCTTAAAGCTATCTGAGTCGGGAGCTGGGAACTTCTAACAGCTGGCAGCTAGCTGTTTTATGTAATAGGGAAAAAAACAAATCAGGAGGAAATAATGTTACAGACTCGGGATCATTAATATCAGTAAAGAAGCCAAGAGGAAACAAAAGGGAATAGACAATGGGAGAAAAGTTTTCATTTTTTCTCTTTCTGTTTGTGTGCAAGTTGCCTGTTTGGGACGGTGTTCCAAACCACACTGCACGGGACTAACCTGACACTAATAATTCCACTGAAGACAACATTACTACAGGGATGAATAGGTTAATGGGTTTTATCTTCCTACACATTAGCAGGGTCAGTCTTAGCTCATTGGTGATTAAACTTATACATGTCTTTGTTTTATTCTTCGCACACAAAAGATTTTAGGATTCCTGGTATTTCTGCCAGCGTGAATATCAGTAAGTGCAGCACTGGGGAAGATTATTAGTTGCTTCAATGTGTTTCAGGTCCTCCACTAGCTCCTGGCTTGATTTTATGGGGCAGAGCATGTAGATATCAGAGACTGGGGACAGTGGAGACATGATGACCCAACTGGCCTAACTGGAGACATGATGACCCAACCGGCCTAACTGGAGACATGATAACCCAACTGATCTAACTGGAGACACGATGACCCAAACTGGCCTAACTGGAGACATGATGACCCAACTGGCCTAACTGGAGACATGATGACCCAACTGATCTAACTGGAGACATAATGACCCAACTGGCCTAACTGGAGACATGATGACCCAAACTGGCCTAACTGGAGACATGATGACCCAACTGATATAACTGGAGACATGATGACCCAACTGATCTAACTGGAGACATGATGACCCAAACTGGCCTAACTGGAGACATGATGACCCAACTGATCTAACTGGAGACATGATGACCCAACTGATCTAACTGGAGACATGATGACCCAAACTGGCCTAACTGGAGAGGTGGACGAGAGGTGCTGCCAGGCTGCCCCACAGCCCTGGGGAGGGCGGTTTTGCTGGTATCTGGACTGTTCAGAGGCAGGGGGAGAGCTGGGGCAGCTCAGGTGAGGAGCTGGGGGAACGGTGAGGACCCTTCTGCAGACCCGGGGTCGGTGGTGGGGAGCCCAGGGAGGAGCCCTGCCCCGGGCGAGGGCTCTGCGAGAGCCTGGGCTGGAGAGGGGCTCTGCTCTCCTCTGCCCTCACAGCCACGGGGGCTGTGCTGGTACAGGAGAGTACAGGGAAAAAGTGTACGAGGGCACAGATCTCTTCTATATACATAACTATATGTGCAATTATTCACTTCCATTTGGTAAAGGAGAAATACTTTCAAATTTCTTATTTGCTGCTTCTTTTCATGCTGCTGTCATAACTTTTTGTTTAATATCCTGGTTGCTAACAAAGGTTTATGGGTTATTAAACAAAATTAAAACACAGAGCTGATAAAATGCAAAAGCAAAGCAAATGCAGTGTAAGCAAATAAAGAAACCACGTGTGAACAGTGGCCAGAAAAAAACACAAACACTGAAGTTTCAAAATATTTTCCAAATCATTGAAAAACTGAAAGCAATTTTTGACACCAAGATCCTGCATGGCACTCATCAGAAGGCTGTTAACAAAGTCTCAAAAAGCCAGAAAATGCTTAGCTTGTAGCCCAGAATTTTGACCACTGGGAGGACAGGCTGTGCAGCAACAAACCAAGAAGGTTTTGCTAACTTAACATGAGGACAAATATTTACCAAAGCATGCACAATTTATTAAAGGAACATACACTTACGGCGTTATCCCCTAAAATGTCCAATTTTTTCATCAGCTCTGCTACTACGATGTCCTAACAAGAGAGAAATGGAAAACCAGGAGTCAGAACAGAGCATCTGGTTTTGTGTAGGGAAAGGAAAATGCGAATGGAGAGTTCCTTACTGTTACACCTTCTGCCTCGCAGTAGACTTGGAGAGGGCTTTTCCCCTCTGTGAAAGGACCGTGGTGGAAGTTGATGGCAGGCGACCGTCTTTCTCTCTCCTGCAATGACAATAATTTGCTTGGTGGCCCAGGGCAGTGTGTCACAAACGGCAGCCCCGCCAGGCGCTCGGCAGGCTCCCCCCAACTGAGCGCGTTGCGAAGCAGTGCTAGGGCCGGGGGGCTTCCCTTGGGGTGCACAGAGCGCAGGAACCCTGCGCCCCGCACCCGTTTACACCAGCAGCCAGGAGCAAGAGCCTCTCCTCTGGCCAGAGCACGTGTTCCGGGAGGGTGCGCGGGGCTGACAGGGAGAACCTCCACCTCACTGCAGAGCAGGGCCAATGGACATCTTAACAGCACTAATATTTTCCCACCGTGCTTCTTCATCGGGCACCAATCATGACCACTTACCTATTATTTTGACTACATAATCTGTCCGAACAAAACTATACACTTATACCTAGTGTTTAAATAAAAGGAGTGTTTACATTTTTCTTGTAAGCGGCTGCTCTGTTAATCTCTCTTTGGAGAATTTGGGAAACAGTTCCCAAGAGCTTATGGGTTCTGTTTATACGGGTCACGACATAGAAAACAGAAGGCTGAGTGGAGTAAACCGAGCAGCCCAGGCCACGCGATTCCTTCTCTGCAGGTTTAGCAAGAGGTGAAACACAGCAATGATTTTTGGCAATGAAAAAAAAAAAGTTCCTTTTTCTTTCCCATGTATGAACTGTTCTAGATTTTACCTCTTTGCATTTTCAGGACAGATGGAGTATAGTAAAATGCACACCTACATCATGAGCCCATCTTCTGGATCTTACCATTACCTAAGTAGTAAGACTGCCAGAACCACCTATCAGGAATACCAGTACTGATCCCTGGGTGTGCGTTTGGGATTTTTTCCTCTTTTGCTAGCACTTTGTACCAAACTCTTTGGTCTCGTTTGGTGCAGTGCAGCTCTTTAGAACAAGCACGGGCAAGCTCCCAAAGCTGCGGTGTGCCGGCCGAGGCTCGCGCAGCCCAGGGCAGGACCCCGGCTGCAACACGTGCTCACTTCGAGCTCCAGGATCCTGAACTCCAGGAGCTCGTTCTGATCCTTAACGTCCTGGACGTCGTGTTTCAAGCGAGCTTCCTCCGCTTCCATTTGTTTTATCTGCAAAATAAAGCAACGCGTGTTAGCGCCGTTCTGCTGGAGATCCGCCACGCTTCGACCGTGCTGGGGAAAGGTCGGGTGCAGCGCCCAGGGTGCCAGCCCACCCCCCGGGGAGAGGCCCAGGGTGCCAGCCCACCCCCCGGGGAGAGGCCCAGGGTGCCAGACCACCTCCCGGGAGAGACCCAGGGTGCCAGCCCACCCCCCAGGGAGAGGCCCAGGGTGCCAGCCCACCCCCCGGGGAGAGGCCCAGGGTGCCAGCCCACCCCCTGGGGAGAGGCCCAGGGTGCCAGACCACCCCCCGGGAGGGACCCAGGGTGCCAGCCCACCCCCTGGGGACAGACCCAGGGTGCCAGCCCACACCCCGGGAGAGACCCAGGGTGCCAGCCCACCCCCGGGGAGAGACCCAGGGTGCCAGCCCACCCCCTGGGGAGAGGCCCAGGGTGCCAGCCCACACCCCGGGAGAGGCTGGGGGTGCCAGCCCACCCCCGGGGAGAGACCCAGGGTGCCAGCCCACCCCCCGGGGAGAGGCCCAGGGTGCCAGCCCACCCCCCGGGAGAGACCCAGGGTGCCAGCCCACCCCCTGGGGAGAGGCCCAGGGTGCCAGCCCACACCCCGGGAGAGGCTGGGGGTGCCAGCCCACCCCCCGGGAGAGACCCAGGGTGCCAGCCCACCCCCCGGGAGAGGCTGGGGGTGCCAGCCCACCCACCGGGAGAGACCCAGGGTGCCAGCCCACCCCCCGGGAGAGACCCAGGGTGCCAGCCCACCCCCCGGGGAGAGGATGGGGGTGCCAGCCCACACCCCAGGAGAGACCCAGGGTGCCAGCCCACCCCCCGGGGAGAGGCCCAGGGTGCCAGCCCACCCCCCGGGAAGAGGCTGGGGGTGCCAGCCCACCCCCCTGGGCCAGCACGAGATGAGTGGGGGCCGCAGCCCCAGCACCGGGGGGCTGTGGGAGATTTTCCCCACCACCGCGTCCTCACACCGGGACATCAAACGGGGCGAGGGGCAATGCCAGAAACCCACTTTTTCTGGCAGGGCTATAAGGACCTGGTTTTTATACATGAATTATTTCCAGTAGAGCTCTGTGATACAGATTAAAATATTGCGCCTTCTGCAGCACTTAAGCTACAAATATTATTTGAATAATACAAACAGAAACGCTGAACACCTTTTCTACCAGTTCTTGATTTCTTCTATACAATGCTTGCTTCTCCTCAATCCACTTCATGTCCTTGAAAAAGAAAGGACCAACATTGTAGGTGAAGCTGGCAATGTTTAGCACAAACACAGTAGCAAGTATTTCACTGAATCACACATCTAGAAAAGAGAGACGGAATAATATTGCATGTGAAACTGTAATTACGTCATTTCCTAGGATAGGAAAGCTCACCCTTTCTGTCTTATTTTAAGTCTGTAGTATATGAATGGAATAGAAACACTCCGATGATTAAAAAACTGCTTTCAGATAAAAGATCTGTTTGCATGAAAAGGGATATTTCTAGCTATGCAGTTACCATTACATTTCAATTATACCGAATATAAATTACTTATTTCTGAACACTCCACAAAATAAACCTTATTTTTAAACTAATTTCTTAGTTGGGTGGATATTCAAAAGCCCCCAAACCCAGCACACTGTTTATCAGTAAGGTTAACAATAATAAGAGGTAAGCTGGGAGGGTAAGGGGTCAGTGACTTAGTACTATTTTAAAGTTCTCAAAAACCATTTTATGTTTCTGGGGTATTTTGTTTTCCTGTTTTGTTGGGGTTTTTGGGGCTGGAAGAGTAAGACAAAAGCAGGAAACAGCAGGGGAACATTTTTATTTCCAGCTGGGGGGCTGGATACCGGAGCCAGCAGCGCCCTGTTCCCCACGTGAGCCTGGTTCTTTATCACCCAGCCTGCGAGGCGGTTTGGAACTCCGTGCTCTTCCACTGTAAGGTGCATTTTCTTTCCACCGTTCCCTGCCTTTTCTGCTTGGGGGACACGGCGAGGGAGGATTTTCTAACCCTAGCTAGGCAAGGACATGTTGAAACGGCAAATATTTGGACCTGAGCACTGCGGTCCGAAGGGATCCAAATGGCACGCAGCAGCCAGGGGTAAAACACCCACCAAAAGCTGCAGTGGCACCCAAACCTGCCGAGACCTCGAGTGGGGCTGGCTCTGCAGAGGGAAATCTCAAGGTCAGGCCAAGGTGACAGATCACTGAGCCAGCCTTGAATGAGCCAGTCATGCAAAAGCAGACACCCTGCAGAGAATTCAGAAATTAAAACTACCAAGTGTAAGCCTTAACATATCAAAGCGAAAATAAGACCTCTTAATAATACCCGATGGGATGAAGAAGGGGGAGCTCAGTAGATGTTTGGTTGAATGCTATGTGCTTCATGTTATCATTTAGACCAAATTTCCTAGAGTGCAGTTTCGTGGATTATTCAATTGTATTTCAAATTAATCCTTTCTGAAAGGATGAGATGATTTGACAAGCTATGTACAGTTTGCACAGTGAACTACACCAACAGCCGAACCGGACACTTCAAATAGCCCTAAGACACAGATAACCCTGATTTCAAAGAAAGCACTCACAGCAAAGTTTTTTACATGATGAGAACCATTTTGGGTTTTTTCCTGAAAATACACAGTCTGTGCTGTGCACTTCCTCCTTCCCTTGAAATGTTTAACCACTTTCTAATTTAACACCTGTTTTTCTCCTTTTAAGAAAGTAAAATCCTGTGGAGCTACAAGGAAAGCTGCTGGCAAGGAAAACTTATTTTTATATTCACTAAACAGACATTTCATTAGAAAATGAATATTCTTCCTTTATTTTACCTTCCCACTTTTCTCCTCGGTATAAAAAATACTGTTAGTCCGTGAGAGTTTAAAGTAGAGCAACTTCTTGCCGAACACAGTTGTTCCCTCTCTTTACCATAATCCTTTCTCAGTATTTATATACCTCTTCAAATTGATAAGGGAGCTGACCTGTTATCCACAGATTTAACTTTCAGGAGATGCCTGATAAAATAGCAGAGAGCTGGTTTTGCTGGGGACAGCAAGGGGACAGATGAGGGCCGGGGGGCCCGGCTGCCCGCTGGATGCCGAAGAGAGCCTGGGCTTCGGGACTCGGGGCAGCGGCAGTGACTGTGGCAGTGCATTTCCTCTCCCGCCGCGCAGGGCCATCCTCGGGGTCCTGCGCCCCCCGGCACCCGCCCGGCGGCCCACCCGGACACGGGCCGAACTCCCGCGCTCCTTTCCCAGCTCCCCTCCCCCCTCCACCCCGCTGCAAGGTGTGCGCGGGCATCGCGCTGCCCTCCCCTCCCTGGCATCGTGCTGCTCTCCCCTCCCTGGCATCGTGCTGCTCTCCCCTCCCTGGCATCGCGCTGCCCTCCCCTCCCTGGCATCGTGCTGCTCTCCCCTCCCTGGCATCGCGCTGCCCTCCCCTCCCTGGCATCGCGCTGCCCTCCCCTCCCTGGCATCGTGATGCCCTCCCCTCCCTGGCATCGCGCTGCCCTCCCTGGCATCGTGCTGCCCTCCCCTCCCTGGCATCGCGCTGCCCTCCCTGGCATCGCGCTGCCCTCCCTGGCATCGTGCTGCCCTCCCCTCCCTGGCATCGTGCTGCCCTCCCTGGCATCGCGCTGCCCTCCCCTCCCTGGCATCGTGCTGCCCTCCCCTCCCTGGCATCGTGCTGCCCTCCCTGGCATCGTGCTGCCCTCCCTGGCATCGTGCTGCCCTCCCCTCTCTGGCATCGTGCTGCCCTCCCCTCCCTGGCATTGCGCTGCCCTCCCTGGCATCACGCTGCCCTCCCCTCCCTGGCATCGTGCTGCCCTCCCTGGCATCACGCTGCCCTCCCCTCCCTGGCATCACGCTGCCCTCCCCTCCCTGGCATCACGCTGCCCTCCCCTCCCTGGCATTGCGCTGCCCTCCCCTCCCTGGCATCACGCTGCCCTCCCCTCCCTGGCATTGCGCTGCCCTCCCTGGCATCGCGCTGCCCTCCCCTCCCTGGCATCGTGCTGCCCTCCCCTCCCTGGCATCACGCTGCCCTCCCCTCCCTGGCATCGTGCTGCCCTCCCCTCCCTGGCTTCGTGCTCCCCTCCCTGGCATCGTGCTGCCCTCCCCTCCCTGGCATCGCGCTGCCCTCCCCTCCCTGGCATCGCGCTGCCCTCCCCTCCCTGGCATCGCGCTGCCCTCCCCTCCCTGGCATCGTGCTGCCCTCCCCTCCCTGGCATCGTGCTGCCCTCCCTGGCATCGCGCTGCCCTCCCCTCCCTGGCATCGTGCTGCCCTCCCCTCCCTGGCATCGTGCTGCCCTCCCTGGCATCGTGCTGCCCTCCCCTCCCTGGCATCGTGCTGCCCTCCCCTCCCTGGCATCGTGCTGCCCTCCCCTCCCTGGCATCGTGCTGCCCTCCCCTCCCTGGCATCGCGCTGCCCTCCCTGGCGCTGGAGCAGACGAGGCAGCGGGGCCGGGGTGGCAAGGGGCGCTGGTGTCAGGAGCCACGGCGGGGGGCACGGGGTGGGGGGGGCTCGGGGCGGGGCTGGTGTTTCGCGGACTGACGCAGAGCGGGGCTCGCGAAAGCCCTCGTGAGCCCGACTCGCCCTACAGCCAACTGGACCACGTGTATTAAGCGCTTTCTTTTCAATTAATTAGCTTATTGAAACAGTACTGGGCAGGTTACATTAACGTCCCCCAATCGGGGGGGATCGGGGCTGGGCGGGGCAGGGCGCTCCAGCACACACGGGCGGGGACGGTAATTGCTTCCCCAGTACATCTGCTTCGTATGAAATGACACAGCCACCGGGAAGTTGCACCAGGATTATGGGATGGATCCCGTACAGACATGAACACTCCCCAGCACCTGCAGCATGCACGGGACCCCAGCCAGGCGCGGCTGCCAGCCTCGGCTGCTGTCTGCCCGCGTGCGTTACCTGCCCCTGCTCAGCCAGGGCCTTCTCCAGGTCTTCAATCCGAGCCTGGGAGCGGTGTATTTCTGCTTGGAGCTGCTCACGTGTCTGTAGGATACGAGGGAAAAATTTAAAAATAAGACATCAAACTTTCTCTAAAAGGCAAAAGCTAACACAGGCACGGAAAATACTTAAAACATCCAATACTTTTAACAAATATTTTTTACTGTTCTTTGGCAGAATAAATCTGCAGCCAAGCATGTAACATTTGCCTTTAATCATAAAAAGAAGTCTGTGAGATAGGATAATAATTTTGAGACTTAAGTCAAGATTAATGTAAACAGCATCCCATTAGGAAAGACAGGAGGACAGCAAAATATAAACGGCTGGTTATGCCCCTCTGCAGTGAGCAGCCTTCCTACTCTAGAACAAGATGTTTAAAAAGGCCAGTGTAAGGCAGAGATTCACTTCTCCATGAAGACAAATGAAAATTATTATGCCACGATTCTGGGCACACCTGTTTCCTTTACATTTTTGATGAGTTAAAAAGCTCAGAACAGGCCCTACCTATGTAGCACTACCAACTGGCAGGCTGTGCTCCCCCCTGTGCATTTAGCGCCCTGTCTTACGGCCTTACCGTGCTGTGTGCAACTTTTTCACTACATTTGTAGCTTCATGCTTATTTAAATATACATCACCTTCCTACACGTCTTTTCTGGAGGATAAATGTAACTATTATTAGCTGGTTTATTCGTTAAATATTGTTTTATAGAACATTTTATTTCCTCAAACCATTATCTGCTATTTATCTCGTTGCTTACAACGGAAACGATCCTATTCGTTTGCATTACCTGCACTGTTCTCCCTTTTGGTTTCACTACGGAAAAAGTAAAATCAGGCAACTTTTCAAGTGGGGCATGTCTTGCTCCGTTAGGCTTTTCCTGCCACGTGCAGCCCCTCACAGCCCAGGGCAGAGCGGGGTTCTGGGATCGCCCTCGGGGCGAGGTGAGCTGTGACCCACAAACGGGGGGGGGGGGGCTTGCTGGGAGGCGAGGGGGGGGGCTGAACTCAGCAGCTCGTGCTCCGAATTACTCAGTTGTAGAGCTAGGAAAGCCAAACGCTGTAAAAATGGAATTCCGCTGGAGGAGCTTGGCCGCCTGGTTTCTGCCCACGGGGGGGCCGGGCAGGCGGCGGCGGCTGGGACGGCCGGAGCCCGGCGGTGCGCGGTGCCGGCCCCCGGGGGGTCCCCAGCACCGCCACCCTCACCCTGACCTACCGGGGTACCATGCTCACACCGCGCGCAGGGAGCCCCGCTGGGACTTTGCGCTCACGTCTCTCCTAGTCACCCTCAAACTGTCAGCTCCGGACGGAATCCGGGGCCTTTTGTTTGCTGCATTATTCACCCTTGAATTCTGCGCATGAGACGCCCTGCCAGCTCGGGGCAGTATGCGGCGTGCTCACAATAAACGTCACATTTTATGGCAGCTGTTGGAAGCCACGTGTGAGGCAGACAGGCGGGCAGAATGGCGTAGGACACTTCGGAATTTAGTTAAGGAAAAGAATCTCAGCTATAAGACTTCTAAACATTTTATGAAGAGCCACGTAACCTCACAGAACCCAGAAGGAATTCAATACCAGGTATGATACATTTCAGTCTAGCCGTCTTAGTTTTTTATAGAAGATGAGCTTAATTTTAAGGATTTCCCATCAAAATTCTCTCTGAATTTCTCTTCAGCGGATTGAAGGTGAAAAGACTAGCTGGTAGGAACACGGTTCCTCCTGCCAAGCAGCTCTGCACGGGGGGTGCCGGACCCCAGAGCCCCCCTGGCACCCGCCCAGCCGGCAGCGTGCTGCGGGGGCTGCCCGACCCCAGTTTAGCTTGGAAACAACCTGAGGAAGTAAATTGGAAACCCCCACACAATTACAATCCTTATTTTCATGTAATATAAGCCATTTAGACCTTAACTTCTCGTTCTGCATCCAATGTTCCTCCGACCTGTTCTTGCAATAGGGCGTATGCTCGTTGCAGAGCCTGGTACTCCATCGTCAGCTGCCGAAACCGCAGTTCTGTCTCTTCCTTGGCCATGCCCTGGAGTTAAAAACAAAGATGCGTTGCACCAGTTGTTTTTGTTTCCGCAAGGAAATTATTAAAAAATAAATATAAGTGGGCTTTCTCTAAAAAAATGCAAAAATGATTACTTTCAAAACGCCATTTGGGAAGCACAGTACCAAAGACCTTGTTCACACGTTCCCAGACTATTTCTCTTTTGTCCCTTAAACATCTCCTGCATACACTTGCTTCAACAAAACGCAATATAGAAAAAAAAAAAAAAAGAGAATTACCCCCGCCTTGGAAAGATAAGAACTTGCCATCCATATAATACAGTAACGAATGAATTGCCCTTTATTACTGTACCAGGCAAAGTCATCACATTTAAAGGTGAAAATACCACTTCCTTGAAACGACAAAAGGTTTCCAATCTGGAAAATAAACCAAACCTGACAGTCTCGCTCAATTATTAAAACTCTAATCTAGACTTAATACTTGTAGAAATGGCGACATCAACATGAAAAGAGCCCTTCATCTTCTTCACTCTCCTTACAATATCCAGCACCGGATGCTTTCATGTCAGGTTGATCAGAATAGTTCACTCGACATGAAATGAAATGATACTGCCGGTTGCATGCGTAAACTTCATACTATCTGAACAGGGAAAAAAATGTCAATACAAGAATGAAAAATAAATAGGCTCATACATATAAAAATACTTTCAGATTCCCTGCAGGGCAGCACACACCTGGTAACCAGCTGTGTATCTTTTATGATGGAGATAGGAATTCCTCAGGTTCCCTTTTAACAGATCTAATTACAACCCCTGGAACGGGTGAAACGGCAGATGAAAAGTTGCAGGCAGCGTACCAGAAAAAGGCTGCAAGTCATTATTAGGAATCTTTTGTTCATTACAAGATTCTTGTTAAGCCTGGAAACGTGTAACGGTACAGTGATCTGACACACACTCGGGAGTGCATTTGTAGGGAAGCCCTGCAAAACACCAGGAATAATCCATTTTATTTGGATTACCAGCCGCCTCTGTGCGCTCTGCATTCAGAGCCTCCAGGAAAGTCGCCACCTCAATATACTGGCGGGGAGACAGCCCTTCCTCTGGGGGCTGGTGCTGTTCCTGACTGCCTACTTCTCCTTCCAGAAACACAAACCTTTTCTGCTTAAGGCTGCACTCTGCGCCGAGGTCAAGCTGACGAACAGAAGGACCTGAACTAACCTCCGTGCACGCAAACCTGCAGTAAATCGCAGTGTGAACAGATCTGCCTGGGGTCACCCAGCTTCGCAGCCTCTTTAGATCTCCAGCCCATAAACCCATTACAAATACAGTATTCTCTGGATGCAGGATTTCCAGCTTGGCTAAACGTTGTGAAATTACCGAAGACTTGAGATCCAGAGATATTAACCGGCATGCGAAGTGCTAAAGTCAACTTTTAATTTTCTGGTCGGAGGTGGCAGATGGATGATGTAACAGACCAGGAATTGCGTTAAAAACTAGGAGCGAGGTTTCAAAAGACAACACCACCTGTTTTTTTGACAAATACCTCTTCCAAGTCATCTTCAGGAGTGCAAGGGGTTTGGTCTGTCCGGTCAGTTTGGTATGAGATAGAGGAACCATCAGACTCCAAGGAAGCTTCTTCATCGTAGCCGAAAAACGTCTCCACGACCGGCTTCTGGCAGAGAGAAGGGGTGAGCGGGCGCAGCCGCGGCGCCCCCCGCCCCGCGGTGTGGGGACACGCGCCTGAGCTCGGCGCCGCACACGCACGCCTTCCGAGGGACCGCAGCCCCACATTATTGGAGATCCTCACTCTATTGCTTTTGGAAAAACTGGCCCAGCTCCCTACATGCGTACACACCCAGGGGTTTTTCACCCCATGGCTCTGCTCTAATGGTACCTAAAACTTCTTCGAATCACGGAACTGCCGCGGTTATTACCAGGTATCACAGTGTACAACCTCAGAGCTCCTGCCCCTTTTTCATGTATTTCCCCCCCGATTTCTCTAGCTAAGCAGAGCTCCCTTTTTAGCGCTTTGTGTGTTCCTCTCAGCGTGAGGTGGGAGTTGTGCGCTGAAGTGCCCTTGTTAACCCACTGTCATCACCACAACGTCCCTCCTGTCACTGCCGCTGCTTTCACGTGAAAAGTTAGGTTTGCAAGAAACGTTCTACTTGAAAATTTGAAGTTAATCACCATGGCAATGTTTTCACAGTTTGAAGAACTCGATTTTTCCACTGAAAGCTGCTTTCTGTCTAAAAGAATGAGAGGAGTGGTGGTAAAGAAAGATTTACTCTTAAATGCTTGAAAGCCAAGGATGATATTTCAAACACAGGCCTAAAGTATTTTTAATTGTTGATTTGCAAAAACATTTCTAGATTTTGGCTTTTTGTTTTAATTTGCAGTGGATAACCTTTGAAGGTTGCCGTTTGCAGGAGGACAGGAGTTATCTCCCACTGACTGCAATCCCTCAGTTATAGATTCATTAGCTCCGGCGTCACCTCAGTTCCTTCTGTGTAGAACACAGCTTGCTCTCAGGCCCCTGACATTATACCTTATGATGCTGGTAGTGTTAACATTTGTATTAACAGCCTGCCAAGTATTCATTAACTAACATTTTCTTTTTCCCTAAGCTCTAACCGTTGCTTTATTGTAACCAGCAATTTTTGCACGTTCTTAAACTCCACAATGAATTATTTACAACCTACATATGTTTTCAGGCAGCGCCATTAAAAGATCATTTTGAGATGTGTTAATTCATAAAATCTGTCTCATCTTAAGACAATCTCACACCACTGAAGTCCCACGGGATCGCTCGGGGGTAAATGCAGAGCATGCAGATGCGCAGCAGAGGCGGTTCCCCTACCCCCACCAGATCTTGCCTGAACAGCCCACTACAGCCTACGAGCGTCCTCGGACTGCGAGACCCAGATTTAAGGTTAGGACCCTCCTGCAGACCCCCGGGGAGAACGTTCCCCCCGCGTGGCTCCGAGGCGCTTGGAGCACCCCGGGAAGCCAGCGTGCCCATCAGCATGTCAGGATACAAGCTTTTTTTTTTTTTTTTTTTTTTACCTTGGGAATTCTCGTCATTTTTTTCCGTTGCTTCCTATACCTTAATAGCTTATCACGTTCCTGAAAGAATCAGACACACAGGTTAGCTGTTTTCAGAGACCTGTTATTTAAATTAACTATGTCAGTACCAGTAGTCATTAGGCGATCAAGCAATAGTAATGCCAACGCTGGCCACTGCCACAAAACAAAATAACCAGCCTTTCATCGGTCAGGTGTCACTTTTACTCCAACATCTTCCAAGTTTACCGCACACAAGTGGCGATTGCTCTTTCTATTCCTGAAAATCACGGCAGCAAAGGCAAGGGGACTGCCACGGGCGCCGGGGCACGACGGCCAGATCCTGCCCTTGGTGCTGGGGGCCGGGGCCGGTGCTGCCCTGGGGATGTAACAGCCCGACTACACAAAACGCAGAGACCGTTTGAACTCAGCACCCTCCGGCTCAGCTGACTTCTCCAAGGATCTGCAGGTTTCCCACTGCCTCTGAAAAAGGGTTTGAGCATTTATTGCTGCCAGAAAATGTTTCTGGTCAGTGGAAATTCCGACACGCTGCACAGAGTCATGTCAATTTTTTACAGTACGGAAAAAAATGTCTCTATTCCGAATTGCACACACAGGCAAAGTCCAGGAATGCAAAGAATAAAGTTCTAAAGGGAAAACCTCTATAAACTTTCATTTTAACCATTTGGTAAAAGGATGTGATGACGCCGTGGGACGTTGATAATGTGCCACTACCACCAGCCCCACGGCAAAGCCTAACATCAGCAGCAGTGACAGAATAAAATCAAATACTTGTTTTGCTTGGCAACAGAAGCTTTGGCGCACACTTGGCAATGAAGAACAAAACAGTACGTGCTTTATCTGCACGTATTAGCAGCTGAACTTTGCAAAATCTTTCCTGATAGTAACAAAGGGATGAGTCGGGCAAGGGCCGTGGCTGAGATCATGCCAGTATGGGTGAGACAAAGCCATGGTGAGCAGACGCTAAAATAAATGCAAATTCAACGTGGCAGAGCTGTCCCAGAGATGGGGGACACTCGGTACTGGCCGTCAGGACAGGGTGACCACTCTGAATTTGCCTCTGAGGTCATCCTAGTAGTGACAAAAAAAAGGCTTCCTCTCCCACCAGAGCTCTCCTCTCCACTATCACTACATTTTTCTCCGGTGAACAACTTCTGCAGATACGGCCTTTGACAACCTCTATGCTGAGAAAGACACCGTGTAGCTTGCTTCCTGAATGGAGATGCAAATGATAAGAAATATTATTGTACCCTGCAAGCTTTTCATGAACAGCCGTTTAAAGCATACAAAGATGAGGATGAAGTTAACGTCATTCTTACCATGACGCTCTTCACATAGCCAGCAGTTTCCAGTGTCTAATGAAAAAGAACGAAACAATGTCAGTAAACGTACAGACTTCAAACAAACAAACAAAAGATATTTTCTTGAGGAGTGTTACGATTTCACTATTTTGTTTCCAAAGACACAGAAAAACGTCAGCAGAGAAGCAAGACCCCAAACACAACACTGCAGAACATCCCCCCCGTAGTCAGCAACCTTGAGCCCTGATGCCACCTCCAGCTAAAGGAGCCCTGGCGTTTTCTCTCGCGGGTGCAGGATTGGCCACCAGCATTTTTACCGGGCGTGCTGCAACGGTTCTGTCCTGCAAGTGCAACGTAGATCGAGGGGATTTTTCCAAATACTACACCACAGGCAACTTCCATTTGGTTCAACTGCTAGTAATCATAGAAATGTCCACCACGCCGATGCAAGCTATGCCTGGGGGCCCACGCAACACCAAGCACCCCTTGCTTAGGCTCCCTGTCATCTGCTGTGCCCCTAGTCGGCCCCACCGGAGCGCGGCAGTGTTATATCTTACCTTGGAGAGTTCATCAATGATATTTTGCTGTTCAATAACTTGCAGCCTCAGGAAATCAACTTCTCTTTCTTCCTGGCTGTGGTCAAGGTCGTTTAGAGAGCTCGGTCTCCTTATGGTCCCGGCTCTTTGCCTCTAAAAGAGACCCCCAGGGCAGAAGAGGACGCGATCAGGCGGCTTTGCCCAAGGGCAGCAGCCTTCCCAGCCGGGCCGGCCGCGGCTCTACGGGCGGCGGCGGCAGCTGGGCGTTACGGGGAGCTGCGCGGCTCTCTCCCGCGGGAGAAGGGATTCGGAGAGCTGGGACCGGCGTCTCTCCTCTCTGGGTTTGACCTGCAGCGCCCACGGGGGGAACCTCAGCACCTGTGAGGTGCTGGCTACCAGCTCCTGCCCACTGACAGCATTCCCTCGGGAAACAAGGGAAGAGTCACAAGTGGAGATCGCCTCGGGCTTACGGGGCGGCTCTGGTACCAAAGCCCGAGGTGACACGGGGAGACCCGTGCTCACGCCGAGGCTGAGCAGCCAGGGACCGAGCAGCCTCCTGAGCAAAATGTGCCAAGCTCACGCACCCCCTTTTTCTGCGGAGCTTTTTGGTCATAAAGCTAAAATAAAACATTCGGCGTAAACCAAAACTTGTTCCAGCCACAGGCCGCTCAGCAGTGCACAGCAGCACATCTCAGCGAGCGCTGGAAAGGGGAAAGTTGCAAGTTTGGGACGACGCCTGCCTCCACCAGCCCTGTGAGCACTAAATTACACGTTCTCTCTGGAGCACACAGAGACTTACCATTGCTATATTTTCTTGCGTGACAAACTTCAATTTATTTTCCATCCGACGTAAGGCATGTGACAATTCTTCATTCTTCCTACTAAGGCGTTTATTTTTGTCCAAAATGGGCTTATACTGACTTTCTGCTTCTCTAAGACGTTTTAACTGAAAGATTAAGAGAGAATGAACACCTCTGGAGCTGTTATTTTTCATCAGATATATTCATCATTTTCTTTAACTATCGCACTATCAATATTTTCTCCTAGTGCAAAGCAGAATTGACCAAAACCTCTTGGTATTTTCTATTAGGAAGCAGATCGTCCCTCCTCCAAGAGGTATTCAACCTGTGCAACAAGCGTACCGTCTGGGGAAAGTATTTATTTATTTTTTAAAATAAATAAAATTAACTCCAGTTGGTGCCATCTGAAAAATTCGTTCTTCCATAGGCAGAGATGAATGTGATGAGGCGTACCGCCAAATACAGGGCGTGGGGGGGGAGCCAGCTGCTCGAGCAATGATTTCAAAACGGCACAGGAGGGGAAAATATCTCGGTATTTTGGGGGCAAGGCACCCCCACGACAGCGCGTTCGCAGGCAGTCACGGCCGTGCTTCGCCGCTGCCCTCACCAGCTCGTTCCTCTCCTCCGACAGCAGCGCGTTCCGGTCCTCCAGCTTCCTGATGATGGCACTGAGCTCCGCGATTTTGAGTTGGAAACGCCGGGCATCCTTTTCATCCAACTGCTGTTCCTAAAACAAAGATCAACTGCAAATAACTGTTCGTCAGTGTGCACGCAATATCAATATTTTTCAAAGCTCAAACTTTTTCTTGCCCCAAATCCAAACATTTCAAAACATTTTATGGCAGAGTGTAACCTTATGTAACCTAACTGACCACTGAAAGCTGCAGGATGAGACCAACGGAAAGTTAGGAGTGAAAATGTAACAAAGTATGCAAATGCAGAAGTATGTATATGCAAATGCAAGGTCACAAATGGTCAACTTGGAAATAGAAAAGAAAATATCAAAAATCAAGGCGATGTTTCCAATGTATGCCACTGTTGAACTGAGTGCTTCAGACACATCACCCACTCAGAGGACTTTGTCGTAAGAAAATTATATTAAAAATACTAAAGTACAACTGGGGAAATTCCATGCAATTACGCCATTGGATAAGCTCTTCTTCCATAAAGCTGTGGCCCTTAGTGGGTTCTAAAGGGTCACTCGTAAAGCCAAGGGGCAGCACTTTATCCGAGGGAAAAAGCTTAAATCAAATTATCACTAGAAGTATAGGTAGGCCTGTTCTCGTTCAGAATCAGAGAGAAGTTACATCTATTTACAATTGTGAGAGACTTTTTCCCCCTCTCTAGGACTTGTTCTCGTGTTTGGCGGGAGTTGGGAGCAAATCGAAACATGCGAATTAGTGTCTGTAGTGCCGGTGGCATTTTTGGGAGGTCTAGGGTTCCTCATTCAACAGGTGCAGGAGAGGCTTGGGACAAAGAATAAAATAGATTGGTTTGCTCATGTGTAAGCATTTACACTTCTACTGAGAAAAATTAAGGCTGTTGCAAAAGAAATCTTGATGAGAATCAGCGATGAATAAAATTCGCATACGTCAGTTAACTGAGGGGGTTTTGATGTTGGCAAATAAAGGCAAAAGCAGAAAGGTGCCGTAGGTATATTTGAAAAAGCCATTGTGAAAGGGTGACTAAAATTTAATGTACTGGATATTGCGTTATAGGAAGGAAATAGGGGAGAATAGGTCAGCAGGTGATTAATTCACTTTCTGGTCCGCGGAAAGCGAGAGCACTTAGCAGCACGGAAACGCGAGCTAGCTGCGGTGTGCCGGGAGGACGTGGGATGCCGATTACCTTCCCCCATTTCCCTTTGTAAACTGGCCTTGTACATCTGCTCACAAAATACGCTGTTAGCGGTTCCAAAAGCTAGCACACATACATTACTTGGTTAGAAGTGCATTTGCATCATTTGTTGGCAAAATTGTGTCAAGCTGTCAAATCAAGGCAGGTGGCAGAAGTATGGTACAGTGAGGAAAAGGAAGAGAAAAAGAACAGAAAAATTTCACCCTGCTAACGAAACCAAACCAAACAAACCAGAAAACAAAACGACAAAAAAGCAAAAGCTCTCCCATAACAAGGCTTGATTTTAAAACTTAAAGGTTTGTCCAAGGAATGAGAGCAAGAAACGGGTGCCTCGGGGCTTCCCCTGCCCAGCTATGGGAAAGCTGTTGCTCGAGGGTGCACTCATCAAGATTCTGTCACTTCGTGCCATTTTGTCACTCTGCTCGTCCGTTTAGGTGAAACCACGTGAAAGTGCTTACGGGGCTTCCCGAATGATCTGAAGCGTCTCCTGCACCACTTGCATAAGGAAGTTCCCGCTTGGGGCTGCTCAGATGCCGATCAGACTCTTTGATCTGGGAAAGTTGTTCATCTAAAGCCTCCTTTTGGAGCTGCAGTCTCTGAGCATGCCCGGCTTGAACCCCTAACTCTCTCTCCAGCACGTAGACTGCTCTGTCCTTAAACTTAATCTCCTCCATCTACAAGGAGAACAGAACACAATCACACAGGCAGGCAGCGGCTTGGCAACAACAGCGCATCGTGGGACCCCGCAGGCGGGCAGCGAGCAGCCGCACGGAGAAGGCAACACCGCTCGCCTGGGGGGGGAACAGCACCCAAGAGCTGGCAGGGAACATATGAACTGAAACACTTCACCAGCCCAGGAATACCCGGGGAGGGGGGGCACCCAGAATAAAATCCCTCTTTTCAGCAGGAATTTTTTCAGTAAAGGGATTGGGAAATAACCCACAGTCTTAGTGCCATTTCAGAATATCTTTAAAAAAAAAAAAAAATTAAACCCTAATATTGATATCACAATTTGGATTAGTTCATGCAAACATATTAATGATTTTGCAGCATTTTTCTTAGACATCACCTTTTGAAAATTTGGATTCATCATTTTACAATATTAGAAACCTGAATATCCTTTTCATTTTCAACATATAAAAGGAATGCGAACTTTTAAAATTCTTTCTCCAAAGTCTCCCGTGTGAGCAATTTGTTTAATTATCCCCCTTCCACGAAAGGATTTGCTTACGTATAACAAACATTAGGCAAAATCATTAAGTGCTTAAATGACAAACGTCCACCCGCCCCTAATTCTCCTCTCTCCTATCTCTCTGCACCGTTCTCGCCGAGGTCTGAGCGCCGCGCTCGTCGCTGTTGGATCGGGCACGTTGAATCTGCAGGTGCTCCAGGCTGGTTTGCTGGATATTTTTCCCAAAAGCTAACGTGGAATGAAAGCCCCCCTGCACGCCCGGGTGGAAGGCCGGGGCCGGGGGGTCCCGGGCTGCAGGCTGGGCGCACGGCCCCCGGCTCCCGCTGGATCAGACCCGTAGAGCCTGGTTAGAGAGTTCAAACGGGGCCGGCCCCTGCCCCGCCTGAAAACGAAAAATTACTGAGCGCAGCCCGAAATCTTCTCCTGTGCCTGCGATGAGGTACAGCACTGCGACGGAATCGCAGGCTCTTCCCAGCTGGATTGCATACGTATACATTATACATGAATATAAAGTATTAATTACACTCACACGCCACAGGGCTGCCAAATGTGCTTACAGATAATGATAAGAAAGAAATCAGATACATCCCCTAAAATGTCTGTTGATCTGGTTTCAGACACCACAAGGATAAGATTCCTGGCATAAGATTTTGAGACTTTACACATTTAATTTAAATGATCAGTTTTTAAAATGTGGCCTGCTTGAAATAAGAACATTTTGCCTTGTGAGAACTGCGTTTGGTACTTTTGACGGCTTTGCCTGTAAACCTGGAAAAAAATGATATTGTGAATTAACAGATCGCTCAAAGCACTTTGTTTCCAGTAACTGCAAAAATGGCCCACTCACAGAAAAAGCAAGTGATGGAAATTTACACACACCCGGAAACGGTCCTGGGACGTTCCTTCCATGAGGTGTGCTTGGGTGGGGGGTGGAGGAGAGCTTCCAGCTGTGAAATAAATTATGTGGGAGAGGACAGGGTGGGATGGGGTCACACAGCGTGGGGGGCTGCGTCTCGACCCAGGCCAGGCAAGGTGCATCGTCACCCCAACATCATCACCCCGTCATCATCACCATCACCCCATCATCATCATCATCATCACCCCGTCATGGGCGAGAGCCAAGGTGCTCCCCCAGGGGGTCCTGCCCCTCGGTAGCCGGAGGAAGGAAGCACCAAGCCACAAACCCAGAGAGATCCCGCACCGTTGCCGGGGGAAGAGCCAGCCTTTGCCAAAAAATAATGTAGGACAGCTCATAAATACCAGCGTGGAAACTGTGTTTCAAGGTTAAGCAAAATTTAGATTCTTTTAGTAAAACGGAGCAAATCAAATGTACCTTGGGTGCCATTTTATCAAAGGTGCTTTGAACAATTTCCATTAAGGCAACAATCTACTAGCTATGAATGAAACAAAGAGGTGCCCACTGAAGCCCTTCTCCTAAATACCTAATCAGGTAGAAGTCTAAGCGGATGCATAAATGAAAAGGTAACACATCATCAAATGATTATCTGTTTAAAATAAGCAGAATATTGGGTAGTTGATCCCTGTTTGTATGAAAACAAAGACATGGTACAACGCGGACAACACTTTAAATGAGGAGGAACAAAGAAACTGGAGAAAACACAAAACATTTCACAGTATTTCACTAATGGTTTGTTTTCCAGAAAAAAACCTCTAAACATGATCTTCATAAACAACAAAGGAAACATCAGTATTCACATTTGCCCTCATATGATTAGATTCACGTCCGTGAGATATGCGCAAAAGCTTGATGTCTCCAGCCCATTATTAACTAGCAACGTCGCAGAAATAGTACAAACTGAAGGAAGCATTTCACTGAAAAATATCATTTAGCACATTCCTTCCTACCACTGGCAGCACTGAGCAAACGTAAAGACAAGAAACAACCTGGAACTCACTGGAGGAGGCGGCGGTCCCCGGGCTGTCGCGCACCCCAGCCTCATTCTGGGGGGGGTGGGGACTGGCGGGACCCCCCCTCCCCACCCGGGGGGCCTGGGGCTTCGGACACCCGCAGCGCGTGGGAGCGCATCCAGCGGCCGGAGAGGCTGCTGTGGGTATTCCCACTGCAGTTCTAGCAGGCTGCCTCCACTCGGGATGAATATTTATGTGGGAGCGCTAATTAACAGCCAGCCCGCAAGCACAGCTGATGCCAATTATGCAACCGTAATCCCATGCAAAGTTAGATTTGTTATTCCCTCCCGGTGCGACGCCTGTCACCGTCTGACATGCAGCTGGTTTAAAGGCGCGTGGTTCTGTTTTAAGTGTATTATTCCCGTCACGACTGCCAGGCCCCCCGTCACCCCCGCGGGCAACAGAAGGCCCAGGTGAAAGGAGGGGGGGATCACCCCGAGAGCCGGGGTTCACGTCTGCGGGCTGGCAGGAGGGGATGTCTGGCCCCCGGGCCCTGGTGCTCACGCTCACCTGCCCTCTCCACTTTCCCATCCTTTTCCTTAAGGCTCCCAAAGAAATAAATGCAGCTGCCCCTTTGTCCTGGTGACGTACGCCACTCACCAGCAACAGCCAGCCAGATTGCATTAATGGGTTTTTACCAAATACTCTACAGGAGTAATTCAAGCTGCTGCTCTGAAACCGCACATTTATATCAACTACTACGATTTATGCCTCGCAGATAGCTCAGGGGGGCAGCGGTAGCATTCCTGCAGCTGCCTTGTTAATGTTCCTAACTCAAGGCGTTTAAACCCCACTGATGTGCTCACACTTCTAACTCACAATGCTGCAGCACCAAACCCACACTGATTCCTGCCGCTGCAAGCGCTGGGAACACAGCCGATACGGTACAACACAGGAGGAGCAAGCTGAGATTTTGGGGGTTTTTGACCAAGGAAAATTCTCCCTATTTCAATACAGAAGAAAAACAAACGCTCAGGACGTGCTCGGGACAGTGTGGCTACTCAGTGCCACTGGTAAATGCCATAAAATGACGGTGGTGCTGTCCCAGACCTACGCTGCTGAAAGCAGAAACCTCACCTCCTGGTCCAAAGCGCTTCCAGGAGTACAGGAGCCCCCCAAGCCCCGTGTTCGGCGTTTGCAGTGCAACAACAACGCGGTTACAGCACAGGAGGGAGCAGACTTCTTGTTTAGGATTGTAGAGAAAAACATGTTTTAAGAAGTGGACTGTAAGACACAAAGGAGCAACTCAGACCTAGGAGGTTTGTTGATCCTCCAAAATGGAGGAGTAATGCTGTATAGCTTTTAATATACGACAAAATCCTTCAGTAATCCAGGTTTAGCTGAAATAAATAAATGCAAATGAGGTTCAAACCACAAATGATGAAAAAACATCCACATTTGCAAGAAGGAATTATTCACCTCGCATAATTTGTCTATCTTTCAGTATGGGATGACTGCTGAGATACCTTTATAACACCAAATATGGCAATTTTCCACCACATAAGGGAATAAAAAGGAGAAGGTAAAGACTAAATCAATCACCAATAAAATGAATATTTAGAAAGTCAGCTTCCTACACTTTTCATCTGACACCGTCCTTTAAATCAGACTTCTCCAGCAATTTGCCACTGCCTGGCAGAGAGACCTGAGGGCGTGCGGGCAAACGCAGAGGTTCGGAGCGGTACCGAGAGGCCTGATCTCCCGGCGCCTCTGCTGCTGCAGTACCGTAAGGAAGCCCTGAAGGCATCAACGTACAGTGGTCTTACCCGAGGGACTAGAGCAGGTGATTACACCTTTTGGTGGTCATCATCAGTCAGAGTTTATCTTAAATTGAGAATACTTTCCAGTCTCTAAGAAATCTCATTTCTTCAGTTTTTGCGATTTCTGTTTTAGTCCCCTTATAACAGAGGCAGGGGGAAGGGAGGCTGCGGTGGTCATTGCTGTTCAGCACTTCTCCTTTCAGACCAGTCCACATTTAAGTAAAATTTAAATGCTCTTAACCTCATTGAATTTTAGTCCCCATTAACAAAATTTGAGGCCAGCTAATCTCAGGGGATTCTCCTGACTGGAGGGCTGTTTTCCCTGGACGTGCACACACTGACACAGGGAGTGCTGCTATTAGTGGGAGACCATAAGAATGCAATTAAATCCATTTGCACAGTATTTTAAGCTGTTTTAAAATGCACCAATTAAAATTTTAAAAAAGCTTACTAAAATTAGAAATTCTTTAGAAAGAAGGTTGGTGCCATACTTGTTACCATCTGCAAGGGACTTTCATCTTTTACATTAACATTCCTGAAGCCTCTGCGCCAGGGAGAGCGTAACTGGGTTAGTTGTACTTCTCTGGAGAGCGGCACGCTCAGACTTTACAGACACAAACAGCACGAGCCATATGTGCAAACAGAAACCACGAGGCCAGAATAATTTGAACATACATTTTTGTGAAACATGTTATTTCCTTTCCTATGCTGTTCACAGAACTGAAAGGCGCTCGGCTCTGCTGTATGGCATTAGAGCTAAGCCATTGGCAGCAACGACTAATAATTACCCTGGCACCTGAAAAATAGCTAGAATAAACAGCTAGATTTTTATTTGGGAACTGCTAAGTGGGAACTGCTTCTAAAGAGAGCTCACACCTTGTTAGCTGTTACAATCTGCAAGCCTCTGTGTGCCTCTAGTGCAAAATTACCAGAATTACCACCTGCAAATATTACACCCCTGCAGTAACAGCCCGTGTGCTGCGTAGGTAGGGTCTGCTGTAAACATGTCTCGGCACAAGAGCGCAGGCAGGGGAGGCCCCAGCTTGCAGGTGCATTGGGAAATCTCCTTTTGACTACAAGAATGGTTTGGATGTAGTTTTTCTGCCAGAGATAAGTACAGCATGCAGGCAGCTGTGCCTTCGCCAAGATCTCCTCTCCTGGAAGAGGGCAAAAGCGCAGGGGTTCCCCTTGGAAACCTGGTGAGGCCAAGGTCTGTTCCCTGGCACAGGGTTTGGCTTGATGTGACAATTTAACTTCATTCAAAGTTGTAGTAAGTCAACCAAACAAAGGTTCATGGCAGAGCTGGTTATTTTGAAATCCTGAGCGTATATACTCTGCATCTCCCTTAGCAAAATCTGACAAAAGAGGATGATGCTGCAGACCAAATAAACTCCAAATTGCTTGAAGTAAATTTGATGGCTGTACAGTTCGTTTTTGCATAATGCTGCACCTTCCTACCACATCTGTTATGTTAAAGGCCATCTAACATTTTTCCAAAAGTCTGAAGGGAGACATCAATGAATGTATTCCTGTCTGTCCAATGCAGAAAAAAAAAAAAAAAAAAAAAAAAAGTTTTAATTTGAAAAGAGAATAAGGGATTAGTACTAAATCACCTTTTTAAAACAATCTCTGTCTGACTATGTGTGGAAGTATTTTCCATAAACTAAGCCTGCATAGATGTACTTGACTCGGAAATGAGAAACTGTATCTATCAGAGACAAATAACTTAGAAAAAATTACTTTATGTTAAAGGGCTTCACATCACTGAAAAGTCAAACACGAATGAACGCAACTTGTCTTTCTCTATTCTGACTAAACAAAAAGAGCAGTATTTTTCTAGGCGTGAAATTATCGTTCGCTTGGAGGTTCCTTCCCTGCTTGATTAGAATGACGAAATAGTGCATCGTATGTGAATCACGGAGCTATGAAAATCCTGCTGTGAATCCCTTAACGACCTGGGGCTGGATGTCTGCCACAGCCGTTCCGTGAAGGTGCAACCCCATCGCTCTGTGGGACGGACGGGCCCGCTCACCTCGGGCTGCCCCTCGCTGCAACCCCAGTGAGGCTCACTGAGTGTACCTATCGAGGGCTCCTACCTTAAAAAGGGAAAAAAGCACCGGTGTTCAGTAATGGCTTAAGTGTTTTGAGAATTGCCTCACTTTCATAGAGAGGAGAGCTTTTATCATGCCACATGGCACCAGCCTTTCCCCCCAAAACGCCAGGGCCCTCCCTGCAAGGTGCCGGGAGCCAACAGCTCCCATTGCAACCAATTACGGTCGAGTCAATGGAGCTGAGAGTACTTAAAGTCATTCAGGAAGCTCTCAGGGCTTGGTAAGATGATGGCACCACGTAATTTAATTAGTACAGTTAGATAATCTGATTCTTTCAAGCAGGAATTAAAAAAAAAAAAGTTTGATTCTTAAACGCAATTTAGAAAACGTAACATCAAGCCACTCTATTCCTTATAACTAAGAACATACTTGTTTTATAGCTTCCACATTAGAGGCCATTAGTGAGGACTTTTCATGAGATGCAGCAGGTTTATTTAGGATGTACATTAGCCATCCTTTCATTCTGATGTAGTAAATCAATGCATCTAGTAATGTATGTTCAGAGAAGAAAGTACTTACACTGCAGGATATTTGAAGAGTATCAATAGTTGGTTATAACTTATTTTAATATCTGCTTCATAAAAATAAAATAATCTACCAGAGGGAAAAAACAAAACAAAACAAAACAAAACAAAACAAACTTTACAACCTAAATTCTGAAGGAAAGGGTGGCTAAATAATGGGTAGGTAACTCTGCAGTGCCCGGGGGAGCGGTGTGCGGTTAGGAGCCGAGGATGCCGAGCAGGCAGGCTGGGAGGGCGCGCGGCTACACTGCCGTGCTTCCACCTGGGGCCAGCCTGCGAGCTGATCGCCTGGTTTTAAAGGAATTTTTTAGGGTTTGGATGATAGTCAAGGGATAACGACTTAGAAGAGACATGGATGAGTTTGGACGGAGACACTGCATGCTGTAAAAAAGCGTGGCAAACAGAAAGAGACGGTGACTTCAAACCAATACTGAGACGAGACCCAAAATATGCATCACGAGGGTCCGGGTGCCGCATTTGTTCCCGTGTCCTTGGGAAAGGCAGCAAGAGTCAAGGGATCCAGTCCTGCAAATCAGCTGTGCACTCACAGCACCGTGTGAATCGAAAGGCAAGGGTCTGAGGTGGTGGTGGAGAAGAAATGGTCCCAAAGCCCAGAAAGCGTTGGGGGCCTGCCAGGCTCTCACGCAAAGGCGCCCCCCTTGCAGGGAGCTCCCTCCTGCGGGGAGTTATCCCCATTTCCAAGCAAAACGATCCATTTTAACCTCTCCAACGAGCGAGGGGCGTCCTTGCCCACAGGTAACAGGACTCACTATGGGATGCGTCTTGGGGTTGTGTAAAGCTCATTGTAGGGTGTTTACGGGAACCAGCAAGGGCAGGGAAAGGGAAGGACCAGGGTGGATCAGCAAGGAACAGACGGTGGGGAAACAGCAGCACAGGCCAAGAAACATAACTGTTTTGTAGGATTTCCCTAGCCAGTTAGTAACACGAGCCTCCTTCCCGGTGTCTGAAATGTGAACAATATTAATAGGCACTGACATGGATAAAAAAGTTCCTTACAAGACATCCCAATAGTTTTTAAAAAACATTTTGACATCTCTACTAGTAAACCAGATCTGGAGCAAGCTCCAGAAGTCTGAATGCCCGTCCTTATTCATTCATCTGAGTCCAGCACCTAACCTTCATTTACCTACTATCTATAACATAAGTGTTAGAAAAAACACAGATGCAGATAGCAACACGTACCAGTCTGCGAATTTCTCTCTCACACTCCCTCTTAATTCTGCTGATTTCCTCTTGATGCAGGTGATACACACTCCTTATCTCCGCTGCTTTAATTTTGTCAGCTTGGATGACCATAGTTAAAGCCTCTTCCACTTGTTTCTTAGCCCCCTTCAGCTCTGAAATTTCTTGCTGCATTTTTATTTTCTCAACCTCAAACCCCTTCTTGGCCTCCTCCTTCGCCTCTGTGAGCAGCACCGTTTTCACCTTGTCAGGAGCCCCATCGCGTACAGCATTGAGGAGGGTCTGCAGTCTCTGGATTTCATTATCTTTAATTTTGATTACTCTAAGTAGTTCAGCTTCATGTTGTCTCAAAAGTGCTTCTCGAACAGCTTGAAGCTCCTTCATTTTCTCTTCATGAAGTTTGACTTTGAGCTCTGTTACCACCACTGTACTTTTATGCTGTTCGTGCTCTTTGATCTGCTTAACTTCCTGATTTTTCTCTCTTTCCAACTTGCTAACCTACAAGGAAAATCAAAAAAGTGCAGTATTCTCAACCAACAAAATTATTAATACAAACCACTGTATTATTTAAAAATGGTACGGATTGCTTTACGATGTTAGACCTTCATGTTGCATGGCCGTGCCTTAGAGAGAAAGCCCAGCCTAGTTCGTATTGCCACACGCAGACCTACACGTTTGGCATTTTGCTCATTCTTTAGGATTTAGTACTTCATTACGTATTAAACGTGCCTTTTTTAAGGGCTTTCCAGGTACCACTAGGGTCACCGAGCTCTGCCACACAGCCTTCATGCTGTAAACTTCCAAAAGAGCAATCCCCTCTCGGTGCATTCCGTGTGATGAAAATACACATTACTAAACCCCTGCACAACATTTCCCCGGGGAAAAGGTTTTTTACAGTTTATGGCCAACACTTTCAACGCAGGGTCACAGCTGCCGCCGGACTCGGGGCCTGGCAGGCACCTGCGGGGATCTCTAGTAACTCTAGAGCAAACCTGTGCTGATCCCCAGGTCAGCAGCGCAGTCGGGAGGACTCGGGGCCGCCGTTCTAAAGCGATTCTAAATCTACCACAAATACGGCGGGCAGGACCTCAGGAGCACCTCCGAGCCCCGGCGCGTGCTCCCCTCGGCACCGCACTGGTTGCCTGGGCTAGACATGAGGATCCCATGTCTCGGGGGGGGGGGGGGGGGGGGGGGAAAGACACCCCCACGCTGTTAGGGACGTGGCTGCTGGTACTGCAGCAGGAGATACCCCCGCCGGTGTCTGCCGCCGCATCTGCGGTGTTTGCCCTGCTGACCCTCCCCTTCGGGCCGAGCCCCTGCCCGCTCGGCCTTTTCTGCCCCGTACTGCTTATCAGAACAGCCCGTGGCATATTTAAAGGCTAAAATCAAGAAGTGGATCAGTCGCTACATTGCATTTATTTACTGACGTGTTTATTGGGAAAGATGCTCCGGGCAGTTCTGTTCAATAAAGATGCATTTCTCTTCCTCAGTTGACATAATCAGGTTTCCTTGCTAAGAATGCGCAGAAGCCTGCCTGGCAGATGAGAACGCTGCAGAACCAAACCGTGCAAGTACAAAGAAAAAACTGTGACATCATGAAGAACTTTGAGAATTCTTCTAAGGAGAAAGTAATTTGTGAAAATAAGAAAATGAACCCTGACAAATTTGTATAAAACCCCTTTCACTGGAAACCAGCGTAAGCGGAAACATCTGCATATTTAGAAAAAGAAAACCAAAAATGTATCATTATCATTTTGCAAATGATTGTTATCGAGGATGAAAGTCTAGGCACCACTGCTGATTTTAGCATCGTATTCTATTTTTATAATTAAATAATAATCCTTTGCAATGTTATGGACTTTTTAATTCATCCAATTCGGTGCCCTAAAAAGCACACATTAACTCAATATAAATAAGTGTCATAAATTTATGCAAGCAGCACAAAACCCAGGTGAAGTAACCATCTGTATCCAAGCACTGCAGGAAGTGTACGCTCCAGAACCAGGCGAACGGGCGGGTAAGAGGTGCTGGAAACAGACTCGTGTTTACAACATTAATACACATTTAGGAATTAGCCAGTATCTTGTGGGCTAAGTCTGAGTCCTTACTTTATTTATCAGCTGGGTATCTGCAGAAGCTCTCATACCACATCCCCAAAAGAATACGTGAGAAATCAGATGCTAAGCCATTATTTTGGCAGGCTCAGGCACACAGATCAAGCTGCTCCATGCACGTATGCATATGCAAAGCATAAAAATCTCTGTGCCAGCTACTGTGAAGCCCCAAACAACTGCGTTTTATCGGCTGCTTTTTAAGCAATGAATTATTCAGTACAAATAACTAACTGTATCTGACCGCAGAAGGGTCAAATGACATTTCAATTTAAAACCATACCATAAACTCAGAAGAAGCCATGATGAGAAATGGCTGGGGAAGACAGGGAGAGGGAAAACAGGGTCCTCAGTCTTAAAACTGCAAATGCTGCTTCACAACAAAAGGATTAATAAATGTTCTATTTATACATATACACACCCGCCCTTAAAGCTTCCTTAAAAACTGGAGTCATAGTATACGATGCCTAATAATGATGCAAATTAATGGAAAAGTGCAGAATATCATTCTGTCCCTGCATGGTAATGCACGTTTCCATTAACATTCTGGAACAAAAAAAAAAACCCTCAGAGTTTATCAGGAGAGACTAATTTGGAGGATTAGAGAAAAACAAGCCAATGATTCATGCCCTCACTGAGAAGCGGTCTGAAAACCATGGCTGCAAGCTCTTAAACTGAGGCTCAAGCTGCATCAACCACCGCTCTGTCAAAGGCTCAAGGTCAAACTGTGGCTCCTTAAACTTTGGCAATGAGAGCAGGAGGCAGAGCTGAGGCCTATTACCGTACATCTGGAAACTGTAAGCAGCATAAGATCCGAATGAAAATAGTGTAAATGTGAAAGAGAAGAATCAGCAAATAGAATTTCTGAAGAACACAAAATTGCATTCAAAACCCTCAGTGTAGCCATCCTCATCAATAGGTAAATATTTACTAGAAAAAGTTGTCACGAGAGAAACAAAGGATGTGGGCAGCTTTCAGCCCACCACTACGATGATGCCATCTGTTTTGAGCAGGTGTTTGTTTTTTTCAGACCTTTTGCTGGCATTTAGCTACGTGATTTTTCAACTTCATTCCTTCCTGGACGGCGGGAACAAGCTGAGTCCTGCCTGCCCAGGGACCGGGATCCTCACTGCTCAGCTTTCCTGCTGGAGCCGTGACACCGAAGCACCCTCCCTTGCAGAGGCCTTTTGTCCCGTATGCACGTTATAAATTGGGGGAGAACAATTTAAAAATCTGCAACAAAGGGGTTGCCTCTTGTGTCCCACGGACGGCCAGCTGCAGCTGCATGCACTCTGATTTATTGCCAGAGCTGGGCAGAGGTCAGGCACGAGTGGGGCGAAGGGCGGTTAGGAAGAACAGACTAGCTTTATTTCAATTAACGGGAGAAGGGAGGGAAAAGATGCACACCTTACTCTTTTCTTGCTGGAGCTCTATCTGGATGTCGGTGAGCTTGGCCCTGAGCTCTTCGTTGGCTGCCTGCAAGGCGGCCAAGGCGTCCGGCTTCTCCCCCCGGGCTCGGCTGCTGGAGCCCTTCTTGGACATGGTGAGGCCGCGGGGCCCAGCGCTCGCTCGGGGCTTCTCGTCCTCGCCTCCGTCCCACTACATCTTCTTCCTGGCCTGGGAGGAGGGAAATCACAGAGCCACAGTCAGGGCGCCGGGGGGGGCAGGCGATGCGGATCCCACCAAAGGCTCGGTGAGACCCCAGGCATTTCTAGGAAGCATCGGCTCCTCCCTGCATTGAGAGCCAGACACACTGCCAGGTGTAATACTGTTCGGGTTTACACCTGCCTAGAGCAAAAGGTTTACATCACGTTTTAGTTCACATTTAAGTCTCTGTCACTTCATTTGCACTGGAATTCAGGCAGCACGGAGGACGCGGATGTTCGGGAGGGACATCCCAGCACCAGCCCCTGGCACCGTCACGGCAGCAGCTGGGAAAACTGTTTTCAGTATAGGCAGAATATTTCTATGTTCTTTTTAAAAAAAAAAAAAAAAGTCTTAAGGAAAAAAAAAATGTTTGGTTTCCTACAAATACTTTTCAGGTACTCACGATGAAAATAATGAAAGTAATAAAAATAGTAAGAAGCAACGGAAGCAAGCAGAGATTACCCGAAGGCAAGAGAAGCTTTCCATACAGGAGTGCGCAGCGCATCTTCGAAACAGCAATTAAGAACTATATAGGTTTATCTCAGTCTGGTAACAGTGCAGGAGTTTTATTTACACAAAGAGGTTATGAGTTAAATCTAAGGAAAAAAAAACCCTGAGACAAGCAAATTCATTCTGTTAAACAGCAGAGCATCAGGCAAAAGTGGACCAAAAGTCAGAGAATTCATATCTTAATATAGTTTGCACTTTATGCCAACCCATTAATCCCAGCACATTTATAAATTATACAACATAGACAATGTATAACGATAACCTCAGATTTGTCAGTAAAACAGATACTATAATACTAAGTACTATGCTAAAAGCTACATTTGTTGATTTTTATTTCAAAATTCTCCAACAAAGGTGTTGCCCAAAACTAAACAGGAGCGTTCTGGAGTGGGTAAGCATTATTAAAATCTGTAGAGACTGTGCCAAATTTAGAACATCCTATTACCAATGAAACTCAAAGCCCCTCTATAATCACTACTCTTAGGGAAAGAGTATAAGAGTTATTGAAAATGTAATCCTTGAAAAAAACATATTCTAGCTTAATATAACACAAGACACAAACTCACTCCAGAGAATTTGCAATCCGAGACAGACAGCTTAAGGTAGGGAGAAAGATGGTTATTTATTTTTTGTTACTGCCATTTTTATGCTGCATCCATCCCATGGTTCAGAAAACAATGACAGAGTTCTCTGTAAAAATAAAAAAATTAACCTATTCATTAAGTCAAATTAAATCCCTGTGATCTGTGAGTTGTTTGCACGGGGTAAACTTGGCTGATGGCATCACAGTTTGTCCTTACTTCACTTGGTTCATTTCTTAGACCTGTGGATGCAGAGAGTTCATTAATATTTTGCACTCGATGACTCTGTGCTGAACAGGTTCAGGTTGCTGTCAATTCTTCCTCTGATCAGTGTTTAATTCAGTGCTCATCAATAGCACGAACCGATATAATTTCATAGAAACCTGAGGATAGCAAGAAATTCTGGGCAGAAGGCTGTGTTCTGGAGGCTTTGTTTAGCCCTGGAGCCGTGGGACTGTCCTGCCCCAGGCGCTGGCTGCTCTGTTCCCCAAACAGGGACGTTCCCCCAGTGCTTCTTGCACACTTTGTACACTTTCAGATGGCTCTTCTCCTGTGACAACATGACTTTGTTAAAGCACTACGGAAGGACGATCCCCACACTGCTGCACAAGCTCCTTGATAATCATCTCGTGCAGTTTTTCAATCTGTGGATACAGACTGTGGCTGTGAAAACCCAGTTCATTCCTATTTAAATGATAAACAGCAACACATGCAAAGAAACAGTTGCCTCTGGACAAAGCTGACTCACTATCAAAGTTTATTTTAAAATTGTCTGTGAAAACATTAATGAGAGTGAAACCATGAATGGAACGCCTAGAGGACCAGCTAACAAGCTCACACAAAAGTTACACACTCGTGGTAATGTGAAATGGGGAAACACCATCAGCAAAGAGAAGGACCAAAATAATATTCAGAGAACTGGATGATCCTAAAAACTAGTAACAGAGGAGGTATGAAATCCAGTGGTACAGAGGCTCTGTCTTTCAACAGAGTTCTCAGGCAAGACTTGGGCCCACTTCTGACCCAAGGCTGAGGACAATGTGGTTTTGTTGTTTCAGACTAAAAGGCAGAATGGATCAGGAATTTTACAACAACATGTAAATTTACAGAAGAATGTCAAATCTAATGAAAAAACGTTTAACTAGAAAACTTTGACTTGCTTAGATGAAACTATACCCTGAAGAGATTGCATGTATTTCTCAGTTCACAAAATTTCCAGGATTTATTTTTAACTGTCACTACATTTCTAGTTTGAAGTAAATCTTTATTTTAAATATCTGTTCAATTTATACCATAAAAATGCACAAACCCCATCAAATTTGGGAAAACATTTCCAACCCTGTTAATACTAACCTTATTAACGTGGATAACAATCTTTCTGGACGATGACCTTCAGTGCCTTGGTTTATTCATCATGACTCAGAGTCAAAGCCACAACAGAGCAACGCTGTTCCCTGTGCAAGGACGAGTAATGAGGCTTAGCAGTTCAGGCCAGCTGTAATAATAAAATAATAATAAATAATACTAGTAAAATAACAATATAATAACAGTAGTAACGTAATTGTGTAATAATAATAATAATAATAAACCAGAATTCTAAGAGAGAAAACCTGCATCCATTAGGGAGAAAAGAGCAGAGGGAGGCAGCTGCCTTGGGGGATATATATAAATGGGATTTGGAGCTAGGAGAGGGCTGAGAGCATCCGAGAGAAGTGGCTGGAGTCTGGGAGCTGCTGGGCAAAGCTGCTGAGAGCTCTGGAAATCAGTCAGGACAAGCAGTCACTACAGATCGACACTGGGTCAGAGTGGGGAGGCTGAGACTTAGAGAAAAAAGTGGGGGGGGGGGGGGGAAAAAATCCCTGATATTAGTTGACCAAACCAAGGTAGTACAAACGGTCTGAATTCTGTTGTTTCTCAGTCTGGTGCTTGACTCTGTAGCCTTAAAGTTACTATAAGAAAAATTGTGTTTGTTTGGTCAAAGAAATATAAATAAATAACATTTTATAGATATCGCCTGAAACACCTATAAACAGGAGTAGATGTTCTTCGTGTTTAGGATTCTTGCTTCTTTGTGCAAAGAAGACACAATACAATGGAGGTCTTAAAAACCCTTCCCCTTTACGGATAAAAAAATGGGGCAGTTTATAGCCAGAGGCACTGGATTCTACCTACCGCAACCAATGACGCATTTGTGCATATTACAGTTATTTTCTGAAATGATATGCTATAATGAAACATGCGGTAGGTGGAGCCAGGTTATTTCACAGCCTGGGGAAATGAGACGCAGCATAATACAAGCTTTTAACTGCTTACATTTGAACGTCGGACAAATAATAATTTGAACGATCCAGGGATGCGTGAGAGTGATTTCAGTCAGAAGGATTGGTTTTGACAGACAGGGGCTACGACAGTTTTTTTGCCTGTTTGATTGCAGAAAACGGAGCTCTGGAACTGCCGGGAGTAAAGGGGAAGGCAGGGCTGCTCGGCGAGGCGGGCGCGGGGGGGGCCCCGCGCGTCTGCCCGAGCTCGGCTTGTAGCGCCACGCGTCCTCGCACCTGCAGCGGTTAAACGGCATTTAAAATCTTACCAAGCTCTCTTTGTAGGAGCGGACGCGTTTCATGCCGAGCACCTGCCTAAATCTGATCTTTCTCTACCAAAAAATGGAAGTTTAAAATCGGCATGGCTTGTACAAGAAAGAAACGCTTGTATTGTAGGGTTTGTTCTGAGCGGGTCTGTCGGAGAATGGCTCCGAGACAAGGGTCCTGAGCCCACCGAGCAGTTGTATGATCAGAGCCTGTTCTAGGGGCTGATGCTGAGCCTCACTAGGGTTTGCCTGCAGCTGCTCGCAGCTGCTGATACAGGAGGAATGTCAAGGATGCTTCGGCCTCGTGTACCGTGGTGTGTCGAAAACAGGTTGAGAGGAATTGGAAATAGTGGTCTGAGAAACCCAGTGTTATGGTAACAGTGGTCTGAGAAACATTGTGTTACGGTACTGTCGTGTATTGAAAACAAGTCAAGAGGAATCAGAAATAGTGGCATGAGAAACTTAGTGTTATGAGAAGCTTGTGCTGTAAGCTAACTGCAAGTAGGTGGACCGTGCGAACACGACCTTTAGAGCTTAAGCCAATCAGCTAGTGACTAGTAGGCATAATAATTAGCGTTGTCTGTATAAATATATGTACCCGGACCAATAAAGTTGGGTTGATGCTCTATCACCCACACTGAACCCGTCTCGGCGTGTCGTTCGTCCGTGGCTCCACACGGGTCCACGAACCCTTTCAAGACCTGGAATATTGTCGGCAGGGCATCCCCTGCTGCCCCATAAAAGCAGCCCAGGAGCGGAGAGGTGAAGGGCTGCAGTCGCCCACCCTCAGCCAAGCTTTGCCAAGGCTTCACTAGCCAACGTCGCTGCCCCCACCCAGCAGTGCCAGGAGGCTTTCTCCCCTGCCAGCCTAGCTGGGGCTCATATCCACGCGTCCCACGGCAAGTTCAAGGTGGCAAGGAAAGGGGACAGCACTGACTTTCGGATCCTGCAGACTCCCACTGGCCCAGCGCGGGCGAAGGGGCTGATGTGGGGAACATCTTCCCCGCTGGAATGCTGAAGCCTTAATGAGATTTTCCCAAAGCAAAATCAGCTCCCTTGCCAGCACTTAAAGCAATAAGCCTGCTTCAAAAAGAACTGCACAGAAATCAGCTGAGGACTCCTTCAATGAAATCTTTAAGGATGAAAAGGGACATAATGACAAAACTTGAATGTAGCCAAGAATAACATCCAAGGATTAAGCGATCCAGATAATAGCAATTGGATCAGCCTTGGTAACGGTCTGTCTGCAGAAATGAACTAATAGCAATGAGACCTGCAGAACAACGGGAAGCTGCTCTGCACAGCGAGCTTCCCAGCAGCACGGAAACCTTGGGGGGAGGCAGGGGAGGGTTCTCCGAGGAAGACCTGCAAGAAAGCAGCACGCTGCTTCTGCCTCCTGGTAGAAAAGGGCTACCCTGGCTCCCGCACACACCGAAGCTCAGGCCCTGCAGGCAGCTGCCCCGGGGCACGGGCTGAGGTGCGGGCACGTCCTCCCGAGCCTGGCAAGGCACGTGCCCCAGCGTGATGGAAAAGGAGGTGCCCTCGCCCGGGTCCCCGAGGAGACCCAGGAGGCTCCTGCTTCCCCCCCGGGCACAGAGCCTCTGTGCCAGCGGAGCTGACCCTGCCCTGCCCGGGGCAGGAGCGACCGAGGAGTCTCGGCGTTACCAAGTGCTCGCCTCAATGGCTTAACTGTAATTTTGCTTTGCTCTATGCAAATTAATGAATGATTAGTAACAATACAAAGATCTTTAGACAATCTACATTCATGAAACTCCATTGGTTTCAAAGGCATTCCGGAAACTTAAACTAAAGAAGCCTGCAGGCTCTTGAACTTAAAGATTAAAATGCAGTCTGAGCAGTAGATGTTATTATTGACCAGGTTGATTTACCCCACTGGTAAACCAAAAAATATAATCGCGCTTGCTGTTCACCTGCAAGGACATTGATTTTGAGGGCAAAGCCAGCAGAAAGCAACCAATGGTATTTAAAACAGAGACTTCATGTCAGAGGATGAAAGCTGCAAGCGCCGTTCCCTTACCACTGACTCTTCCACGCCGAAGCAAGCGGCAGGAAGGATAAACAGAAGCAAAGCGGGTAGCAGAGCACTGCCCACTTGCTCAGGGTTCACTCCCACCGTTTCTGGTGCAGTAACTCCCCTGCTGTTCTGCCCTTCTCGGGGAGGTCTCAGCCCTTTGCGCCGAGCACCCTGCCTCCCGCCCGGCAGCCCTCTGGTGCGGGAGCAGCGGGGTGGGTGCAAGGGGACGTGGGGACACGGGACCCCCCCCGTCTCCCCCGGCACTCCTGCACCACCCAGAGGGCTGTGGCTCTCTCTGGTGCATCTCTCCCTGAGCTGAGCAACACGGAGAATGAAAATACCGCCGAGAACGGGCACAGAGCAGAGCGAAGGGGCTCCCAGCTCCCCCCCCCAGACAGGCCTCTGGCTGCAGGAACGCAGCGCACCAGGCGCGGGGTGCAGCAGCCCGCGGCGGGAAATGGCTGCGGCATCGTTTGGGGCTGGGGGGGCCCTTGACCAAAATTTCTCAAACAGCCAGGTCGCTGTGCAGATGGAAGGGAAAAACCTGAAAGCAATGGGTTCATTTTCAAGAAGCGGCGATACGCACAGAGACCCGCTCCTGTGTCCACCGTCCGGCAGACCAGAAAGGGGTTTACACCTTTTGTCTGGAGCTACAGGTCCCTTTGGTGTATGGCAGGTTGCCGTTCCCAGGGGTAAAACGGGAGATCAGACTGGACTAAGACAGCTTTCTAGGGACAGCCATGAGCTTCTGTGTGCGCGACAGGACAAGCATCCTTGCTGGGAACTGTGAAAGTAGTTATTTGTATTAATAGAAGTGCCAGCCTTGTCATACAGAGACAGTGGTGTCTGCTGGTGTACGTCTGCGCACAGAAAAGCCCTCTGGGGCCTGGTGGGCAAATGCCAGTCTTAAAAGAATATTTCTGCCAAGCCCCGGGAGGAAAACTTCCCGCAAAAGATGCTTCCAAGCCAGCACACTTGTGCTGATAGGGAAGGTGGCCAAGCAGCAGGGTCTGACAGTGGCGAGGGAGCGCGGAGCCCCGAGAGCCAGCCGGGGGGGCAGGACCGAGCCCAGGCCCTGGCCCAGTGGCTAGCAGAGCGGCCACCACCACCCGCGCTGGGCAGCAGCGGGCAGAGAAGCCATTTGCTGTAAAACCAGTTACGTTACCTTTGGGTTTTTACCATTTTTTTTTTTTTTTTTTTTTCCCCGCAATGAGTCATGCAGAGGGAGAGCATCTTAAAGCACATCATCTCAACAGAACAGAAAGGTCTTCGTATTTTTGATTCTGGGAGAATATATTATGCATATGATTGTTGTCATGTTTGATATTGAAAATAGCATAAATAATGCATCATAAGCTGCCTTTAGCAAGGTCCATCATTCTTTTTTGCCTCCTGACTTGCAATTCAGACATCAAGGCTAATTGGAAAATGTGTTTTCTAGACAGTAGTTTCTGAAATCTGTGTTTTACTGCACTTAAAAATAAATTAATAAATCCCTACCCAGAGTACCCATATTTTAAGCAAAACATAGCTTAAGTACAACACTTCCGGCAAATACTGAACATTTCAAATGTATGATACAGCCTTGTGAACATTGTTGTTTTCTGGTTTTGACAAATTGTTATAAATACTTAGTTTAGACAAACCTTTCTGAGTCTCTGGTGCATCTCAAAATATTATAATAGAAAGAAAATACAATATTGCCTATGGCTGAGTTCTCACTTCCTCATGCGGGGAAGCTTTTCTTGGGTAACCTCAATTTTTCAGTTAGGATTTCAACAGTCTGTAGATCTGAATGCAAGAAAATTAGTTTTCTTCTGAAAAGGTATTTCGTGCTGAGCCAAAGCGCTCTGCCAATGTAATCGCATCACGTGCTGGTTTTGTGGTTTGTTTTGTTTTGTTCTTCCGTAAAAACATTTGTCACAAACAGAATATTATTCACTCGGCTGCAATATGAAAAGGAAATCTGTTGGAAATTACATGGAAAAATACAGCAAGCAGGTAGCAAGTCTTGAAAGCGCTGAGATCAAGAAGTAATTGCCAAGACGTATTGTTGTGTACGTATGGTTATGTGGCATATTTCCTGTGTACATCCCATGAGGATTTTTTTCTCCGTGCTGTTCAGATAATGATTAAATTGAGAATATTTTGATAAAACACTTCTTTTTTTTTTTTTTTTTTCTTTTTTAATTCAACCAAATGTGGGCAACTCAACCCAGACTCCCAAAGGAGCGTATCTGGCTCGACCACGCTTTTGCTGAGAAACTTTCAGGTCCAGAACAAAACTTCTCACCAAAACCATCAGAAGGCGGCGGCGTACGCGAAGCTCGGGTGCCCGGGGCACTCGCTCAGGACGCGAGAGGTCTGTGTTCGGGGCACTGCCGTGGGTGCAGGGCATGCTCCCCGGGAAACAGCGCCCTGTCGTGAAGGTTTCCACTCAAACCGAGCCACCACGCTCCGCCACGTGCTAGCAAAGCCCCGGCAGGCTACCCACGGCGCCGGGCTCGGGCACTCCCTTACCAACGGCCGCCTGGGCCACAGCAAATCTCACTTTCCGAAAGGGAGGAAAAAAAAAGCCAAGCAACCAACGGTTCCCAGTGTGAAATAAGTCCTGGAACTTACCGTTAACAAAGTAAATGTCTGATTTTAATTAGAAATAACAAACACCGCTTCCCCCAGCCCCCACCATGCAGCAATGAGTCTCCGCCGACGGAAGTCTAGCCAAAGTTTTGCTTAGGATTAGATCAATTCCAACAACAGCTTTAACAGACACATGTCAAATCCTGACTGACCTGAATTTTTCCTCAAAGATTAATCCTTCAGCTGCATTTAGCTTTCCCTCATTGATGGCTGGACCGTGTTTACAAAACCCAAGCAAAATCCTGCAGCTTATAAACTGCACGTATGTCGTTTACACAGACCCCTCTGTGCAGACTTAGCGTGTGTGTGTGTAGTTACCTGTCTGCAGCACACACATGCACAACTGAATCCCATCCACTGATTTTCCATCATAAGCCTTACACAGTTTGTTGGGGGTTTTTTTAAATGCAAAACATAGCTGGGTATCAATGATGTGAATAGTTAATGGTTTATAGTAAAATAGAAGAGATTAATACAATTGCAGCACTGGAAGACATAATTGCTGCTCAATCTCAACATGTATATTTTAAAGTACGCCACCTGTTTAACTTCTACACCTCTTACGGTTAAATTGCAGAAAGTGAAATAATTAATTAGAAATAGTGGCTATTATGTAGGAAGCTAATTTTTCTTTTTTTTCTCCATTTTAATCCATTGGAGTTATTGCAATAATATTACAGCAGTACACCTTTACAAATTCTCAGTTAAACTGGAGCAACTCGGAATAATTCCACTGATTTTGTGGAGGATTATTAACCAGGAATGCCTTTCAGACTTAATTCCATCAGTTTAATATTGTGTCATTCCATTATCTTGATCACAAACAAACTGTTTGAGTAATGCCATCCGTTTTCCCAAGGAATTCATGCCTGTATAATTAACTACAATCAACTGTAACACAGATGGCACTGTATGATCCAAAAGCACTTTATGGAAACATTTTAAGCATGTTATTAACATCCCTAAATAACTATTTAACGCTGCCTCTCCAACCCTCTTCTGCATGAACATGCAACACAGCTGGATTTGAGTGGAAAAGGCAGTATTTAACTGCAACACTCTTATAAAAGATTTTCAGTTCTTGGATTTATTCAATTTATAAATTAGCTTGAAAATAACAGACTCTACTGTGGCAACAAAAACATTGCACTTTAGATTTCAGAATTAAGACTAATTTCCAGAATGACTCATCTTCATCAAACTCAGCTTTGAGGAACTGGGCAGTGGTGGAAGGACACTGATGGGAGGAGGAACCTCTCTTTAGGCTGACCGTGGTTATCCAAAAAAGATATTTCTATTTGACAGTTTGTTTTATTCCTCAGCATACGCGTGCCCAGTTCTAAGTTAAGATAAAAATTTACATTTAACAGCAACAGACAAGAATTTGAATGGAAAGTCAATTAATCTTCCAAGTGAAACAGTGGCAAATTGCTACATGCCCATCAAGCTCTAATGAAAAGCTGCTCCTTCAGCCCCCCAAAAATGAGGATCAGATTATTTAAAATCTGATTTTTCATTACTAAATATCCTAACTTAATTAACCTCTTCTTGACAGTTGCTGAGACTCCCCTCCCTAATTTCAGCCCATCCCTGCCCATTTATTTACTAGCGAGCACGTCCCTTGGCCCACAGACTGATTTGGAATGAAGAAAGCACAAATGTGATCAAACCAACAGACCTGTTGGAGATTTACCGTGAGGAGGCCTCGGGGGGCCGGGGGCAGTACCCACCGAAGGCGACGGCGCTGGGGATCAACACCGCTCCTCTCCCCCAACCATCTGCCCGAGCAGGGCAGTCCCGGCGGGGCCGGAGGTCCAAAATCTCATGGAATCAAGCGTGAGCCCCCCCAGCGTGATCTCTGTCGGGAAGGTGGTCCCTGGGAAAGACCAAGAGAGCTTTAGGTAAATTCTAGTGAAAGGGAGATCTTTTGCATTTTAGCAACCGAAGAGACAGCACAGCGCTCGTCACGCCGGGCAAGCTTCTGGCAAGGACATTGCTGGGGAAGATAACGGCGAGAGAGATACCCAATTTAGAGATGCCAAACAAGTTCAGGAAAGGGAAGCTGTTCAAATATCGCATTACCGTCACTTGAGAGTCAGCGCTCAGTATCGCACAATGAGGCTTCTTAAACGCCTGAAGTGGGCAACGCTAAATGAATACTCGGTGTGAGAACCGGAACTAGGCTGGGAAAACCATAACGAACACAGCAGTGATTTATATGTACTGACACACAATTAGCTGGAATTATTTTAGGTACACAGATCTCTATCACGTGATAACATCATGGCACGTGGAAGGGAAATAAAAAGCAGTTCTGGAAATCACTATGCGCTCTGGGGCTTATTAACTCAGACTTATATTCCTTCCTGAATGAAGCTGGCAATTCAATATATCAGAGCTCTGCCGGATTCAGTGAGAGCAATGCTTTTTAATTAGCGGTGTTCATCCGTGTACTTGCACCATCTCTCACAACAGATTGGGAGACGACAGCGTAAGATTTTGTCTTCTTAAAGGAAAGAGCTGCAGACACACACGCATAAGAGGTTTAAGTTATACACAGATACAACAGACAAAACAAGAGTGTTGCTACTGCCGGTTTTAATAAAAAAGCCAAGGTTTTCACAAGTCAGAACAGCAGTTCTAAGCTGCAGTAGCACAAACGTCAGTAACAGCGAGTCCTCACTGTTGTGTTAAACAGGGGCTTCCCAGGGCCCTGTGGCAGCTACAGCAGGCGAATTTACTGAGTGTGAACTCGTACGAATGGCTTGGCTCCCACTAAAAATAATGCGGGGCGCGGGATGGGCCGGGCATCTCCCCCGAAGCCGGGCAGAGGTTTGATGCCAGCCAGAACCATCTCCTGAGCAGCCAGAAACAGCTCCCGGTCAGCAGCCCGGCCAGACAGGGCTTCCCTCCGCACCACCTCCACCTCGGGCCTGGGTTACCCACCACTGAAACAAACCAAACCTCCCCTTATTTGTAAATATTGCTCAGCAGGTCAGAACTGCTGTATTTAGCTTATACACTTGGCTACAAAGTAACAGAAATTTTTTTTTTGGTTTGTTTTTAAACATCAGAAAAGCTATGGAGTTTACCACTAGTACTCTTAGGGACAGCAGATCACTGTTTAATATGAACTGCTGCGCATCTAATTATTTTGGAAGTTTTCACAGATTAAACAATCCACCCAATAGTCAGCACGTGAGCAGTGCCTTGTCATAGCTAATAAACACTGTGCAGAAAGAAAAAGCTAAAATACCCAGCTCACCGATACTGCACATTTTAAGCTATGAGCTGAGTAGAATACACGGTTAAGAGAAAATGTAGAAATACTTAGCAAACAGAAAAGGATTTGCAAAAAAGAAAAAAATACTGTTAGCTGACTTCATACAAGAGCTCCAATACATCGTTGGGAAGAATGCATCTCTGCAAGGAATAAGGATGCTAGAGAAGGGCGATGTGATCGGGAGCAGCCGCATCTATCCCCTCGCAGCCTCGCCCACGGCCGCTGAAACCAGGCTCTCCCCATCTGCTCCTCTGGGTTACAAATGAGGCACTGGAGCCAAGCTCCACTTAAGTCAGCAGGAAACTTTCCATCCACCGTAACGATCCGGTCACCGATATACGCAGAAGTCAAAAATAAGCACCTAAAAGCCACTGCTGCAGAGCTGCCGTTTAAAAGGGAAGGATTCCCTCCTCGGCGATGGGCCCAGCCCTGGGTGGTGGAAAGCCCTGGGCAGGAGGAGGTGTCGTGCTGCTGCTCCGGCCCCGGCGCAGGAGCAGAGCCCCGGCCGGGCAAGGCGAGGGGTGGCCCTGCGGGGGCACGGCCGGCTCCCGGGAACGCGTCGGGTCCCCCCGCGCCCCTGGGCCCTCCTCGTGCCACGGGCAGGGGGAAGAACCAGGGCAGCTGTGTCAGGAGAAACGCCAGAAAATAAACAGGTTATGATTTATCCTTGGAGCTGGAAATAGGGCGATTCGCTGGAGCCAAGCGCCCTGAGGTCGCTGCTCTTTTCCTCGGGATCAATTCCGGCTTCTAGGGGCAGAGGGGTGACATCCCTGAGCCGCACGCGGACACGGGTCAGAGGGGCCCCCCCTCGCCCGCTCATCGCCAGGGCAAGTGCAGGTGAAATGTCACGAAAAACCAGAAAAACGGTCAAGGAGATTGAGGACAGTGGAGCTGGTTGAGCGCTTTGAAGAAAAGCAGCGTATAAAGTTTTAAGCATAATACTCAATCCTTGTAACACTGAATAAGAGGAAGGGTTTCTTAGATGACCATGAACATTATTGCCACCCTGCAAGAGTTTTACATGTGAAAGCAAATTCATATTTAGGCATAGCTGTACCAAATATGAGTAAGTTAATCGGCCTTTGATAGTGGTTTGTGTATTGCTGTTGGTACGTACAGGGCCCATTCTGATTGACCGTTTTTTGGCAGATAAACTGTCAGCTTGGAGAGCAGAACTCTGACACACTCCCGTAAATCCCAGTCTGACCTGGGCACTGAGGCGCACAGAGAAGGACCCTGCTGACACTTGTGCTGTGAAGCGAACTCTAAAGCAAGGACCAACAGATCCTACAGTCCAGGGCAAGTATCAAAGTACGCAGTATTTATATAGAAGGGGAGAAATATTCCAATTTCATCTGGTTAAATACATATTTCCAACTACAAAGAAAACATCCACCTTTAAAAAGATTTTAAAAACAAAACAAACAAGCAAAAAAAAAAAACAAAAACCCAACCCAGCCCCTGGAGGATGACTGAATAAAATCCTAAGGGCAAAACGCCCTCCCAGATAACAAAACAGAAATACTAAGAAACCTTGCAGTAACAAAGCTCACATTTCTCAAAGGAGAGGCAAAGCAACAGGTAGGAGGGCAAACGCTGAAAGCACATAGGAAGGCTGAGAACACGGAAGAGTGAGAAATGCTGGTGTGGGATGAGACAAAGCCTCTCGCCTGCAGGCTCGGCCACGCCGACGTGATGGTGTTTCGCTGCTGCTGACCTTGCCAAGGTGATTTCTGTTAGTAGGTGCCTGTGCATTAACCAGATGTACACGGCTGAGAATTTTTAAGCTATAATCTGATTTTTTTTTTAAGCTGATTTGATTTGAGATGCTGCATCAACCCAATTTGCTTGGCAGGCAGATATCCATTTCTCTGTAGTTTCACGGAAGAGGTCAGTAAGGGGGTTTAAGACTTCCTTTCAGCACAGGAAAACCAGACCCATTCTTAAATAATTCAGGCTTTTAAGGGGAATAAAAAGGTAAGGGTTGTTTCAATCTAACTTTAACATTTGAAGTCAAAGGATCCATTCCCCTAGGAAAACCTTAATTATTTTCATCACAAGAGCTCTCCATTTTTTTTTAACCAAGACTAACAACCAGAAGACAGGCTGACTTTCATGAAAAACCACAGTTTGTATACACTATCATACTCAAGATATAATTTCAGTTAGTAACAAGCTTAACTAATTGATCCCTTTAATGCTACACTAAATGTAGTAAGCATGATGTTGAATATAAATATAATTTTAAAATTTTTTGTAATGTAAAAATAATTGGAATGAGCAACTCGGGAAGTGGGCCGTCCAAACCAAGTGTGTGTGTACACGGTGAGAAAGGTAACAGAAGTTACACCGTGTTGCAAAGCCTCCTGCTACCGGGACCCAGAACGACAAAAGTACACAGAGGATTAAATCTCCAGTAGCACCGCGTGGCCTCCGTGTGCCCACAAAAGACACCCAGGGAACAATATCCAAATTATTTCTGAAAAACCACAAACCCCCCCACCACAGCAGCAGCTGCATAACTGCTGTCAGGGGCGTTACAGGTGAGCTAACCCGAGCAGCAGCCTCGGGAGCTCTCCTGAGCCTCCCTGCTCGCCAGCGGCGAGGTTAGAAAGGAGCGGGCGCTCCCGGGCAGCGGCGCGCTGGCCCCGGTGTCAGCGGGCACCTGCGGAGCCCAGCCCGGGGCCGGCCTCCTGGTTCGACGAAGGGACAGAACCGGAGAAATCTCAGGGTATGTAACTGTAGGGAAAAGTCTCTCATTTCTCTAGCGCCAGGAGAAAAAAATGAGAAAAAAAAAAAAAAAAAAAAAAAGGAAAAAGGGAACCTCGGTAACTGCTTCTGCTCATGCTCTCCATTGCGTCGCTAAAATTTACTTGCTGGAGTTCGCTTCTGTGGCCAAGTCACTCATTCACGAGTGGCACCTCCCGGCAGCAGTGCCTGCTGATGTTTTATCCTGGGAGAACCTCCTCCTCTGCAGGTACCTCCCTCTCAGATTTGTGCAGAGGATTTGCAGAAGTGCTAGCCTTGCTTTTGATTGTGAAAAGCGCTATATGAAAGAACTGGGAAAGCATTCTCACAACCATTCCCGTTTACAAACGGGAAGCAGCTCCAGAGGAGCTCTCTCTTTCCTAGCTATTTGTTCAGTGTGGTATCCGGCTAATCCAGGATTTGTGTTCAGGATTTTCCAAACTTTTAGCCTTCCGCACTTACTCCTTCTGAGAAAGTTGTTTCCCACGTGGGTTGCTGCGCACTGAGCTTTAGCTAAGAGGATGCATCCATCTGGCTTCCGACCTTCCAGCTGATGGTTGCTCTCAGGAGCGGGGAGCAGCCGGCACTGGGAGCGGTGGCATCTGATTCTGCCCGCAAGAAGCCAGTCGGGGTGCCCGAGGGCACAAGAAATGCTGCCTGCAGGGTCTGTGTCCCTGCCAACCGCCCGCATCGCAGCCCGGCAAGTTCTCCAGCAGCAACAGAGGGGTGGAACTACGTGTCTGCAAAGGTCCGGGAGAGGGGAGACACGCAACATAACACGCGGCAATAGCTGTGGCTGCTCCGCTCCAGGGTAACCCGAGTTTGTTAAAGTTTGGGCAAAAATG